CAGTTGGCTGTGGATTCGACGGCGAAATAGTGGAAGCTCGGCCTGTTCCTTCCTGCAAGAGGAGCTTCATGAGTTTTGCACGTCGATTGATAAGTTAGAAGATATCTTACCAATTTGCTAGAGCTGTGGGAGCTCGATCTGCCCTGCCTGCCCAGATTCTCAGCTGGTGGATGAGAACCAAGCCCTCCAATACGACGATCATGCCAACAACACCACTGGAACATTTGCTTCCACGCACTCATGCAACAATGGTATTGCAAGAGAGGTGAAGCCATCTAGTCCAAGAAATCTCAGCCTAAAGAGCCTGAGCAATCAATCCCGCACTGGATTCTACCGCAGATCTGGACAATCACAGCGAGCTGTGGCAATGGGGACCTAGAAAGGGAAGAAAGAATGTATAATATGAGAACTTAATGATGACTCTTGTTGCCCTTCTATTTTCTTCCGTGTAAAACTATACCTTAAACAAGACAACTATGGGATGCAATCTAAATTCTAATCAATTGAGAGGAAATGTCATTGAGAGAAACACTGTTAGCTCCTTGCTCATTTAATTTAGAATATTCATTGTCCTTTAAGAAAGAGAAAAAAATTCTGAAAGAATATTTTATTTTATTGCCCTTGAACAAAAGGGCTATATAGAAGTGCATCCTTCATGTAAAAGAAATTTTGGTAATTTTTACCCAATATTTAAAGGGCATTTTTAAAAAACACCCATGCAAAATGGCTCAAAAAGGGCCAAAAGGGCATCAATTTTTTGCCTTGCATCACCACCCTTTGGAAATAAATACTAAAAGCCAATACCTCATGAGTCTCATGTTTTGGCTTACTATAGAATTTGAAGATTTTGATCTCATCCACTTGATTGATCCAGTTGTTATTGCATGGAATTTATGTCACACAAGACCTATAGGGTTTAGGGTTTAGATTATATTCTAGAAAAAGATAAAAGAGTAAATTGGACCACAAGTTTATGAAGTTCAGCATAACATCTAGCAGGCCAATCCTTCAGAAATTGTGCATGTGCAGCAATTGAAATGCTTCATACAAAGGGATTAGGAGTAGCTAATACCATCTACAAATTTGTCGATGCCTCCTCTTAATGTTCCTCTAAATCCCGGCTCATCTACAAGAGAACCCTGATGGTCTTCCATTATTCCAAGAGGAGGGGATGATGTGAGGGCCAAGTGTATGGCTACAATGCCATATATTAATATTAGCGTAGTGAGATTTTGGTAGCCATCGGATTGGTTTTAATCCGGGCCACTCGCTTTTGTATATAAACTAGGTTTTAGGCTAATTGATATGCACATTTTCTATATTCCCTTTCCATATTCCAAGCACTCACATAGTCAAATTTACTTGGAATATAGATTAAATCAAAATTTGAAAGATATGAAAAAATGTTAGTTCAAGATTAACCAATGTTTTTCTTGTGTTTGAGAAATTGTAAGCTCAACTCATGAGCTCAACTCGTGAGTTCATAAACATTGATATGCCAAAGTCCATGTTGCCTCAACCATCAAACCACTACCTATTACACAATTGATCACAACACTATAAGGTGGGTAATAGAGTTCAAACAAGATATCTATCATTGATGAAGATCAAAACTAATAGTTAGGCAATGTGTTGCTAATGTCTATAAGATTTGGTAGGATGTTGGTAGAGATATCATACCCCGGCAAAACACATGCAACACGCTTGTTATCATAAAAACTCTCCTTTTTTTTCTACATAACACAATATCATAACTTAACAAATAAAACTTTTAAAGACAACACAAAATACAAAATGCCCTCTTACCTTCTCTAGCATTCTTAAGATGCATTGGGTCTCAACTTTAATATTATCTATGATGCATTTGGAAGAGAACCTTTTGAACCTGACTCAAGTTGCATACCACATAATGAGATATTCAATTAAGCCTGTTCGGAACAATGAAAATAACATGGACTGGTTGTGTAAAGGGGAGTTACTACAATAAGGAATGGATCCATGAAGTGGTGTTTAGCTAGAATGTTCCAACTTGGGACATCTCTAATAACATCTAAAAGACCATTTAGCATGTCAAAAAGCATGAAGTTCATATCCTTGGAGTTTGTGCCCATGAAATTTGTGCCTTACCTAGCACTCAATCACCCTTGGAAACACCATAAATGCTATTTTCCCAATAGCAACACAAACCAGTAACAAAGCCTCTAGCACCAACTAATGATCTTCCTTGTTGTTGTATTGGAGGCTACTCCAAAATGGCCTTATTGCACTGGAATATGAACATATAATCAATTTTTTTAAAATAAATTGCTATGTGTTGTATGTAACAACGCTTGGTTTGCTTAATTGTAGTATTATTCTCTTATTTCATATCAACCATTATATGATAGAATAAAAAAGAATATACTAGTAAAGCAAAAGCTGGTTAGGAAGTTATGGTTTAAGAAAGTTTATAAATTATAAACATATTTATAAATTATAAATAAAAAATTAATCTAAATGAATAACAACCATTAGTTGGTATAATATTCTTGAATACCAATAGGTATATCCACTACCCCTACAAGTTTGCTTAAGCAAACCAAAAAGTGGACAATAAAATTTTATGTGTTATGAAAAACTAAATGCTAATTTCTAGTTTTTCATATTAAAGATAGGTCATTCTCTTCAATGCAAGAACCCTAAATTGAGATTCAAACTCTTCTCACAACTTAGTGTTGATCATATTTTTGCTTTTGTTTCTACTTTCTTAGCTTTTATTTTGTTTTAAGTTTTTTTTTTGTTTTTAGATCAGATTTTATTTTATTGATCTAGGTTGTTGCAATCATAATCACTCAGTAAAAGACAGAAAAATACAGCTACATATGATGCTTATGTTTAAATACCTATATATGTCATCAAGATGATGTTACTCTCAAGCAAAGCTGGTAACATTGCGTGATCTTAACAGAAACTAGCTGTGATAGTATTTTTAACTTCCGGCCAAGAAGTCTTAGTTCACTAACTCGAGTGCCAATCGTGGTGCAAGATCTCGGGATCCTTTCAAAAGTGATGAAGCTTCTTCTGAGGACTATCATTCACTCTTTTTGCTTCTTCTCTCACTCTGTTATCCAGTTCTATGTCAAACGGATGTCTCTTGTTCTGATGCTTCGTATCCTTTCAAGTTTCATTAAAGACTCCCTCAAAAAGCTCGTTCAAAAATTTATTATGCTACTCTTTTTCGATCAATGGAGCATTAAAAATTTGGAATGTTTCTTTGCAGCATCACGAGCTCCCTGTAGACGCAGCTTGTTGCTTCTTCTCGGAGGTCTTGCAAACCTGCGAGTTCAGTAAAGTTCAGCGTAGTGAAAGTCCCGCGTGGGATTCCGAGAATGGCCTGGACAGAAGACCACCACCACCGGATTCACTCTTCGTGAACACCATCTTTGGTGTTCGGTCGCAACCACGCCTGCTTCCTACTCGTGGAAATGGCCGCCAGCCTCGCAAAGTAGCAAGTTGTCGAGACTAATTCCAAGTTCCCATCGTCCATTAAGATGCTGAGACTTTGGGTGTCTATTTGAGAGGCCGGGCGTACTGACGTATCCACAACTGTGTCTCTTCGGAGCCCGCCTGCAAATTGTTGGAGTTTCCTAACCGCAAACGTAAGGAACAGGGCATCCGTTTGCGATAGAACTGGAAAGCAGAGTTGAGAGAGTCACTTTCGAAAGAATCCGATCCCGCATGAAGAAGAGCACGAGATTCCTAAGCATAACAGTGATCAGTGTAAGTAAAACGAAAACAACACACCCAAGCTGCTGTATTGGCGTGTCCCCAGTAGCAACAAAATAGCTTTTGTGGACGATAGTGGTGGTGTCTAAATGAAGAACACAACGAGAAAGTACATTTCCCCTGGAAGAAAAGATCAAATGTGGATCTATGTTCAGAAAATTGTCACAAACGAAATCTACGCACCCGAGTCAATACGAAGAATGTCCTGCCCGGAAGATAAAAATACTCTCCCAATTAGTTTCTGTTAAGAACACGCAATGTGACACCAGGCATTCAATATTCTAAACTTCGCAAACCTTGATAGCCGCGTTTTCGTATCTCCCAGCCAGCTGCGTTAGCGTGTACATTCTACGTGTATCCCAGGATCCACTAAAAGACGACCAGAAAGAAGAGTGTGAAAAACTTCGAAAGTACATGGTTGACAAAAATAAACAGCGACATTGTACTTTGCCTGGGAATTGTTGGATGAGTATGGCGGTTTCGTCAAGGCCTAGGGAAAATTAGGAGCACCTGATTAGAGGAAAAAAACAAAAGAGAAAACGAAATCTATGCAAACCTGTTCATCGCAGATTTTTTATGCAATCCAATATCATCCCGGGAACTGCTAAACAGTAGCCTTGAAGAAAGCGTTCTCTGCTAATGTTGACGCTCCACTCGGGAATAGACTTCTTCCCTGCTAACGTTGACGCTCCATTCTGGAATAGATTTCTTCCCTGCTTGTCGAGCTCTTCATCAAAGTTAGTCTGTAAAGAGGACAAATATGTCATGGTTCTAAAATGAATAGAAGAATGCTGCGAATGTTTGATAGAGAATAAATACCTAGTCAATCGGGTATGGAGGAAGTAGCGTGATCGCTCCTCCATCTACACAGAAGCGCCATGAATTTGGAAAGAAAATCAGCTGGATTGTTTGCTACTGCCGAAAGATAGCCGATTCGAAGAGATCGCCAGTAGCTCCGCCTTCTTGGACGAGCTCAATGCGAGCTCTGGAAGGATAAAATCAGAGAGAATATGTGACTACATTCCAGCTAAATAAATTTTCCCCACTCTCCACGAGATTCGAGCCTGGGACACATATACATCACCGTCCATCCGTAAAATCAACCGTTAAAGAGACTTTTACTTTTACCGCGGCATCGTGTCGGCATGCCATTGGCTCCTGCTGTTTCGAGGAACCTCGCATTCTTTTTCGTTTGGCCTTCCTTTTAATCTCCAAGTTTTTTAGGTTGTAAGCAATAGGGCAATGGCGACGGTCGCGTTCTTGGCTGCCGCATTGGTATAAATTTGCGATCCACTACTGCGAATCGCCAAGCGCGTCGCCAGTCCTTCCTCTTCTTCGATCTTTCTCTTTGTCGGCGATCTTCGATCTTCCTTTGTCTCGTTGCTGTCCTAAAGGCGCGTGGATTCGATCTATTTCTAGCAGCTCTCCCAGGGATTCTTTCCTATCACTCGCGGCGCCTCGAAGATCATGATGATGAAGCTGCCAAAGATCTTGCGGCCCAAGCGATCGTCGTCCGGCTTTGATTCCTCCTCGTCGTCGCTTGGTAGTCCCTCTTCCGCCACTCCATCTCCCAAAATCTCTCCCAAAATCTCCTCCAAGAAGCAAGCATCTCCATCCAGGAGTGAAAATCTCCCCAAGAGCGCCGAAATTTCTCTCGGATCGTCGCCCAGGAGCGCTTCCTCCTCCCTCTCGCGTGGAAATGTCATCAAGGCGGAGCTAGAGGCTGTCTTCCGGCTCTTCGATGCGAACGGCGATGGGAGAATCTCAGTGTCCGAGCTTGGCGCCGTGCTCAAGTGCCTGGCCATGGGCAACGATCCTCCCCCCACCGAGGAGGAGCTCCACAAGATGGTCGAGGAGGTGGACGCCGACGGCGATGGATTCATCAGCCTGGACGAGTTCCTCCACTTCCACGCGCAATCCACCGCCAGCGTCGCGGAACTAAAGGCCGCGTTCTACGTCTTCGATCTGGATCGCAATGGTTTCATCTCCGCGGACGAGCTCCACAGGGTGTTGGTCGGTTTGGGCGAGGTGAATCTCACCATGGAGGATTGTGGGCGGATGATCAGGGGCGTGGACTCGAATGGCGATGGCCGCGTCGATTTCGAGGAGTTTAAGCTCATGATGGCCAGTGCATGATCATCGATCGATCGTTCGCTCCTGCAGTGCCCAGTGATCGATCGCTCCCTCCTCTCTCAGTTTTTCCAAGTTCTTGGGCAAATTTGTACATAGCAAGGAAGAACAAATCTCAGCCTCCAAAAAATTTGTGATGAAACACCCGTTTTGTTTGCTTCGCTTAGGCAGAATCGTTAAATTTTTTTTGTTTTCTATACTCGAAGAAAGTAATATTGGTGGTAGCATGGAAATGCTTTTTAAAATTCTTTCCTATACTCGAAAAGTAATATTAAGCAAAAATTCTTTCCTTCGGATTACAAGATGCTTTTCTAGTTTGGAAGATTCTCATAAAAAGTTGTGATCATGCAACACTCTTTGTGTATGTAATTAAAAACTTTTTTTACCCATTCTTTGATTCTTTGATTAGTCATTGGCTTGTTTTCTAAAGTTGGTGGCCGTTGAAAATTTGTATTTGTAATATTCCATTTATGCCATTTGTATTTGGAGGAAGACTCCAAACTCCTTTTCTCCTTTTTTCTGCGCAATAAAAAGAAAAGGAGGTCTACGTGTTCATCAGTGTCTGCTTTTTAACTCTACGTATTTGATACGATCCGGAGAGATGGGGCTTCTGAGAAGTAGCCCATGATTCGTTTCCGATAAACTCACAACTCTTGTTTGGAGGATCGCGTTGTCTCGCGCTTGGCACTTTTGCGTGTTCGGCAACTTCTTTAACGCTTAATCGATGGAGGGATGTTTTGGATTCCTTGCAATTCGCCAAAGCTGGTTGTGGCTAGTTCCTGGAAAAACAAAGCACAAACAAACAAACAGAGAACAGTGCTAGACGTCAGTCTCCAATCCAAAACGCGTTGCTGCGAAATCGACGCTACTCCAAACTCTGATAGCTGCACTGCACGCTTTGGTGTTTGAGTAGCTTAAAATACACTCGCGATGGTGCTAGTGCTTGTAGCATTCGATTTCTGGGCCTCTACAATGTGGTCAAGATGGATTTTGACAGGAGGCCACTGAAATCGTTGAGCATGCTTTTCGAGGGATGATGAACACGCTTCCGACATTGCTTGTCTGCAAAGACCACTGAATTAGTTTTATAAACATTTCTAAACATCGGCTAATTACTAATAAAAAGCATGTCTTAACATTACTATTGGATATTCTGGAATATCTTTTATCACCTAAATGGTTCCATGGATTCAGTATGGCGACGATCGCTTGTGCTTCCCTTTGACAGACAGTAAGCTGGACTTGGGGGAATCCCTATCTTCTGTTCGTGGGGGAACAATCATATATGCAGATGGCAAATCTGTTGAGAACATTGACGAGATTCGTAAATGGGAGGGTGGAGAAGATCGGGATGGGAAGTTCCGAAATACTGCCCTTCTTCTTGCAGGTATGCGCTCAATTTTATTTCTTTTCTCTCTTTTTTCTAGTTTCGTTCGAGTCTAGCGATTTTTCTTTCTTCTCAGCGAGCTTTTTTCTCGGGTGTTGAGCACCGGCGGCCAATGGCAAGCTCTATTTGCTCGATTTTCGACTAAGTTCTCTCTCGCTTTGCAGTCAGCGGCATCACGGGTGCTGAGCTGAGGGATGCCCTCGCTGAGATCCATAACGAGATTCGAGAAATGAAAAAGGACCCTGATCGCACCAGAAGCGCTTCACGAATTACTCGTAGAGATCTTCATGCCCGTGGTGGTTTACGAAGACCTCACCGGCAACAACGCAAGCGAAGACGTCGTCGATGGACTTGTAGGCGATGACAGGCTTTGGAACGAGCTTCACGGGTGCCAGCAAACGGAGCCGAGAAGGTGGGCGATGGAAGATCGGATTCGTTGGAAGGATGCAAATGGCCACACCATCGACAAGATGTTCGAGAACGGGCCTTTCCCGGTTTCATGCCGGAACAATCAGCTGGCTTACTGGCCAGGGGGCATTGCTAGGAGTGGATCTGAAGGGGTGGAGTTCTACGTGTGGGGTGATGTTTCTTTGGTTCTTTGTTCCCTTTCGTTCAGCCGTCAAAAGGGTGGAGCGGCCATGAGCTTGGAAGAAGATCGTATTGTTCTTGTGCAAGTTCTTCTGCAAAGTATGGACGAGGTGAAGCGTTTCACGCAAATGGTGCTCCCACCCAAGGATGCTGCTAGTTACAGGGAAGTAACGGTTCAAGGCATTGAGCCTCCCTGGAAGAGCGGCCTGGCGAGAACAACGAACTAGCTCTCATCTGGAGAATGGGCCTACGCGGTCGCAGCTACTTCTCTGGAGGTTGGGTCCTCGACTTCTAGCAAACGAGAAAGATGTTGCGAACTTGGCTGATCTTGAGTGCTTCGATTTGTATGAACGATTAAAATCAATCACCTGCTCCAAGTTAGCCAACAGAAGTTTAAAGAACTTTATTGACTTTTCTTGACTAGCTCAAAGTCAATAGCCAAACTTGAAGACTTTCTTTGACCTTTAATTAACCCTAGTTTTTACTTTACACTAAAAAGCATATCCTTTTAGGATTCGAATAAATGATTTGGCATTATCCTAGGGAATCGCCTTTCGGGGCTTGCTTTGCGCGACCAGCCAAGCCTGGACACGTCACTGGGCGCATTACAGTCCAAGCGGACATTCCATTTTCCACGCGCCTCCAATCCCCTGGCACATAAATCACGTATAAAAGGCGAGCGTTTCACAAAGCCTAGGAAAAGAGAAGAGAAGATGGCCGTGGAAGAGAGCAAAATAGATCGTCACGCCACTGCCGATGGAGGTGAGATGATAGCTGCCAATGATGTTAGCCACAATGATCGAGAGGCTAAAGATGGAGAGGGGCGAAAGAGAGGTAAGGGAAAGGTCGTGGTGGTGGCCATGGATGGAAGTAACTTGAGCACGCAAGCGCTTCACTGGGTCTTGGAGAATTTGGTCTTTCGCAAAGCCGAGAGGGATGAGGATTCGGACGAGATCGTTCTCTTCCACACCCAGCAAGTTCCTCCAGCGAACTGTAATCTCGGTAAGTTGATTGCTAGAAGATGAGAAAAACTTTCCTGTTTGCTCTTTGATGGATAAGCTTGCTTTGGACAGGGATCACGACCCAGGAGATGATCGATGCGATCAAAATGCAAGAGGAGGAGGCCGCGGTGGAAGTCCTGGAAAGTGGGAAGACGCTCTGCGAAGAACACAAGGTAGAAGCTAGCAAGCAAAAAGAAACTTCGATTACTTACGCTTTCTTCCTTCGTCCCAAGGTGAAAGTCAGGACGATTGTAAAGTCTGGAGACCCCCGAGATCACATCTGCGAGATTGTTGAAAAGGAACAAGCGAATGTTCTCGTCATGGGGAACAACGGGCATGGAACGCTCAAGAGGTTTGTGCTCATCTTCTTCTTGTTTCAACTTCATACCAAGCTGATGAAATTGATGGAAAACCATAGGCTTCTTCTCGGGAGCACCTCAGACCACTGCGTTCACCGTGTGAAATGTCACGTAATCATCGCAAAGGATTTACGGTAAAGGAGTTACTTGCCACTCACTACAAGCACCCAAAAACCTTGACGTACCGAGTTATTGAGTCTGCCGTTATGTAAATGTCTTCGTTGCCGCTTTCATGTATCTCTGTCGATGTTTCTGAGCCCATGTTTATAATTTCTCACTGTAAAAAAATAAAAAATTAACTGAAGAAAGAAAAGCTTGTCATACCCATGAAAGAAGTTACATTTTCACAAGAAGTCCCCTGAGATGCACGGTCACAGTAGCGTCTCTAGAAGTTTAAAGCACGGGCCGCTTTACATTACCTTCAGCTCCAATCCTTGGCCATGTCTGCAAAATCCTTTCATCTGTGACAAACAGAAAAGAAAAAATGAACTCCGAGGCCCAACTTTCCATGTCCAAGGATGTGTTCCTTTCTACAGCACGAGGACCGCAACTATAGAAACAGCACTCCAGCCTTGCCCCAGCTTTCAGCATGTATGAAGCACTGTAGCCACCTTCAACTGGTTCGTTTGGACCCGCAAGATCTGGAATAACACCTTGCTGTCACTGGAATACGTAGCCAGCACCTGTGTGTCGTTTACGATTGTAAAAATTTTCATCAGAGGGATCTGGCACTACAAACACCGACAGAACAATACATACCTTTTGTGGATTTCTTTATGGTCGCTTTCATCGCTTCCTGTTAATGTTTCCGAGCTCATGTTGCACATTGAACCGAATACATATCACTAAATAAAAATCTGGGAACACCTTGAGCTTACTACCAAACAAACAGTTTGTCACAAGATACATACCGAGAGAGTCCAATGTTTTTCAGTATGCTATTCCAAGAAGTTAAAAAAAAAATTCGCCATCTTTTACAAGCAGTCCCCCTGAAAAGCACTTTTCAGTACTGTCTCGGGAAAAGTAAGTCAACTCTGACACAGAAAAACAAATCTGACGCAAACGAAAACTCCAAAATTGAAGAAACTTACCTGAGAATGAGGAACAAAAACGTGGTGCAAGCGCTGGGCGTGTTAACATTTGCCACGGCCGCGAAATCAAGCTCCACGACTAAAGTACGATCGTCAAGTCTGCACTTTGTGTAGCACCCCTCCTCAAGCCACTCCTATGTCACGCTCCGAGAATCAAACACTGCCACCCTGCTCCCCAGAACCGCAAACGTAAGATTTCCATGCGCACAGCACTTGCGAAAGTCCCAGTAGCAAAAGTCACCCTCTAAAGTTGCCACCTCTTTCCATGTCCAAGGGTGATTTTCTCTGTCCAGTACCGCGACGGCAGCTTTAGAATTACGTGTGAACAGCACTCCAACCTCGCCCCCCAGCTTCAAGCATGTATAAATCAATGTAGAAGTCACCTTCACCTCGCTGGAAGACATCTTTCTCCCCGTCCCACGCATATACCCATTTGGATCCGCTAAACTCCGCCACATCTTCGATCTCTAGCAGCACGAGTGCGGAGTGCTCCGAGAAGTAACCGAGACCGTACTGCAACCCTCCAATGAACACCGTGTTGAGAGACGCCGGGTAGCGAGTAAGTGTCCAAATACCCAGCCTTGAGTCAAACAGTTACGGGGAGAGCCAGATCGGGAAGAATTGCTTGCCGTCACTGACATACGTCGCCAGCACCTGTGTGCACTTGTCGATAAAACTGTCGATAGGAGGGACCTGGACCCATTGCTGCGTCAGTGGATTCCCCACCAGGAAATGCTTCTTGTTGACGAAGATCTTCCTCCGGTCGCATAAGACGAGGCCGCGTGAGAAAGGTATGGCACAGAACATTTGGGTGCAAACCGAGACTCCCAAGAATCCGGCAGCTCTTTTATGACGGGTTCATTTCTGCAAAACAGCGAAGTTGTTGTTTCAAGGAAAGGAACGAGTATAAAAAGTATCACCGAGGCCAGCTGGAAGGTGATATCGCAAGTACCGAGTAGGTTCATCAAGTCGGTGGTGCAGTAACAACACGATTTTGGATTGAGAGTGACCATTTTGTCTCCACAGGAGCCTGAAACTCGGATCATCCAGCATGCGAGCCCAGTGCTTGCATACCAGCTTGGACCGTGCTACCCATTGCAGACCGCTGGAATTGAGAAGCAGAAATCTAGTTAGCTCTAAACCTTAAGTCAGATATAAGCTTTTACTCTGGGATTTGGTTGTTGTAGCTCGTCGAATTGTGATGCCTCGAGGCTCTGCATGCATTGGTGAGAGAGCTCTCAAGTTCGTCAGCTCTACCAGCATCGACCAGAGTTGGATTTCTACACTGCTACTTTCATCGTCTTCGTCATAGCTTAGCTCGAACTATCCTCCAGTTCCAAGCTTCGTTCCACCAAAGTACCTGGATTTCCAATTAGCTTTTGTTCTGTCGTTTGGAAAAACGATGATAGGTACCTCGTGACAATGATCATAACTCCATCCACACCAGAATTTTCTCTGGCAGCATCTTCCTGCCGTCCCTCCAGGCTCTCCACCATCGCTAACACGATAGCGTTCTTTGATCTAAGCTGGAAGAAAATGAAACATTCAAGCAAGGAAACGAAGAAGGCGAAATAAATGAACCACATTGTAAGCCCAGCACTCGTGAGTTGCCCGTGGATCCAAGACCTTGCAAACAAAAGAATGAGCTGAGATCGCGATTTTCTTCTTTGCAAAACTAGACCTGGGAGAGAAATGCCAATGCGCCTTGTTCATCGTCCACTGTCCAGAGCGGCCGTGGCGATGAACTTACTTCCTTTCATCTCGCACTGCGAAGAAAACCTGCTGTATATGCCGATGCTGCGCCATCGCTCCAAGATTTCGCTCCTCTCTGGCGACTGAAATGCACGCCAGCGCCGCCGTCCTTCCATCGATCGGCGATCTAGCACCAGCTAGAAAAACCCTAGACGAGGAATCCAAGCCCAAGCGCGAGTGCCTTTCGAAAATTGCGGTGCTATAGAATCTTGACACACTCGTGGCGCAATCCTCACCGTCAGTTCATCCACTGTTCCCGCTCTCTCTCTCTCTCTCGGTAAGTCGGCAATGTCAACATCAAAGCAGGTTTGATCTTCCCAATTCCATGCATTCTCTCTCTCTCTCTAGGAAGTTCTCGCTACATGTAGCTCCTGGGACTTTGGAGTGTCTTGAAATATACGTACTCATTTGATCATTTTTATCGGCTAGCTCTCACTGTTCTTCTTCTTTTCTGCCTATTTCTTTCAAGAGAAGCTGGCCAGAAAGACGAATTTTCTTGTACAAATCATCGGGAAAAGAAGAAATGGAGACTAGTTCTCATTGATTATCTCAAGAGAAATACGGAAATATAATAAGCTTAAGTGAAAAACCTTTTACAAAATTTTAAGCTCATCTGATTCTCAAACCTTCTTGCAGCCCCAGGAACATCTTCAGTATCAAGTTTGAATAGCTCATCCGCCTTCAGGTCAACATATTCTGACGCAGGAACTATGGTGTTGCAGTTGGAGCAGCTGGATACCTGGACTATCGTCGATGGTGCCTCCATTTACATTGAGAGTCCGGGACCAATTCTCCAGTGCGTTTCCGACGTGAAATCCAATCACCATGAGTTTGCGAAACAGGGAATCTACGTGTATATGGAGCCCTGGACGCTGCAGGATTTTGATGACAGCGGCAAGGCAGTTGGCTTGAACATCACGGATATGCAAGATCGATATCCCTACTGCGGAGGAGTTCCCAGATACATCTTTTACTCAAACACGAGCAGACTCAAGAGCCTCATCAACGATGCTTTTGCGAATGTTAGCAACGTCTCCGAGTTATTGAAGAATCCTGATAGCGAGTTTTCCAACAAGATTTTACATTATAGATCATCTCAGCGTCCACAAGAAATAGATATAAGGGTGGAAATTAAAAGATGTTTAATAAAACTCCCTTTACCCAAAACTTTAAACACACATTTCATCCCTTAAGCTTGTAAAAAAGGACATATTTTAGGTTTTCACTTGTTGTCCTTTCAGCAGAGAAGCCAGCAGCGATGCCAAACAAAAGCAGCAAGGTGTACAAGGAGCTCCATCTTCTCCAGAACTACCCACTGTTTTGGTCCTCATCCTCCCAGCAGAGTGGCCTCCAGTTTGGAAGCGTGGATGAGTTGAAATCGTACTTGAAAAAGCAGCACCCGACCTGTATGAAGTGCAATCGCGCTGAGTGTAGCAACTTCGACTACTTCAACAACGACAACATTGGCCAGCCAAGGTATCGCTGCAGTCAGTGCAATAAAAAATTCACTTATGGCGGAAAAACAAGACCAACCTACATGAAGCGGCCAAGATCGAGCAGCAGTCAGGAAGTTGACATGGGACATGAGAACAAGAAGCTCAAGTGCGCTCCAGTTGAAGACGAGACGAGCAAGGGTTCGCTGGTCCACGAAAGTCAAGCGAAGCAGAGTGGTCAACAGGCCGATAAAGCTGGGGCGGTGATCTGGGTGGGGGACATGGAAGATTTTGACATGGATGACTTGGAGGTGGCTAGAATCATGGCACTGGTCGAGGAGAATGAAGTCTCAAACGAGGAGGAACACATCCCTCTTGTGTTCCCTGAGGTGGCAGAAATTGTAGTGAGTGACGAAGAGATGACTGAAATTCTGTCGTCAAATCTTGAGGATGTGGATGATGAGGAGATGCTAAATCTCGTGCTTGAGGAGGTTTTGGAGCATCCAGAACACAAGGAGGGCTTTGCGGAAATTCAAATTGGCAATGGGGAAACGAGCCAAATCCTCCAAAAGAATGTGGACAATGAGGATCTTGTGCTTGAGGGGGATTCTCAGGAGGAGAAGGCAGAGGCAATGGAGGGGGACATTTATTTTGCTCTCGAGCTTGAACAGGATCTCCAGGCCGAAGAAGATAAGCGAAAGGAGGAATCCATGATGCTCTGGAAGATTGAATTGGAGAAAGCTAAATGGAGTGGTATGTTTAATTTCAAAACAAATCGGCAGATTGAATCAACAATCAAATGAACACAATCAGGATAGAAAAAGAAAAACAAATACTTCCATGTTTGGTGTAAAATTTATTAATAGTATTAGATCGAAGTACCACTTTTTTTGAATTAAAGATGATGTTCACAACAAGAATTTTCCACTGGTCCTGAAATCGGGAAGCAGTCTTATTGGCCTGGGCATGTATCAAGACCTTGTTTCCAGATTTAAGATGTGACAGCGGCAAGATCGGGTCCTTGGCCTTCTTTTCCGCCATGGTTACCATTTTCTTGCATAATTACTGCTCGGTTTTCCTTGTCAGTGCTATGAACGTCGGCCTTGCCCTCATCTTGCTTTGGAGATATGGCCATCTCGTCTGTCTCAGCCTGAGGCCTCTCAACACTGCGACAGCGAATGCGGAATCGTTGCTCCAAGAGCTTGAAAGGCCGAGAATGCGGAATCGTTGCTCCAAGAGAAAGTAGCTATTCGGGCCGAGAAAGTAATCCAAAGACTGCGACAGCGAATGCGGAATCGTTGCTCCAAGAACTTGAAAGGCCGAGAATGCGGAATCGTTGCTCCAAGAGAAAGTAGCTATTCGGGCCTCTTCTGCTCGATCCAGGACAATTCTCCCTGCTCCGTTTACTATTTTCCTTGCCGCTGCACCATACATCCACTGCTGCTTACCAGCATCTATTACAAAAAGCTTGCCAGTAAAAGCATATAAGAAAAGCCAACCTGCATGTTCTTTGAATGAAGAATCGCACAGTGCGTTTGCAAGTTCAGGAATTGTAGCCTCAGCTACAACTTCAACTGTTCGTAAGCCCGCTTTGTATAAACATCTAGCTCGCGCAGCCTGTGAAAACATAAAACAAAGGTAAAACAATCCAAGAGCTTGCACTTCCTAGTGGCGAAACTTCAGTATTATGGAACAAAGGTCGACCATACATACCTGAACAAGCTTGGACAATATAAGAGCCACAAAAAAGCGTCTGTACACACGCAAGTTTTGATTCGCCTCGCTAGCCTTCTCACTACCTTTTAGACTCCTTTTACGGCCCTGCATTGGTGCTCCATGAGCCATGCGCATCACGGATGCCTCGGTCACCCCAACTCTAGCAACTGCCTGTAAAATGCGAAAGCATTACAATGTCTATTTCTAGCTTTCGTCTATAAGAACCTGATCGACATAGGTCAATTCGACAAATCTTTGATAGTGAACTCCCCAGTCCGGTTCAAGCTCCATGTGAATAGGAGTAACCTCGTAAACAAGGTGCAAATCCGACGCTAAAACAAAACTATCACGGGCTTTAGCAAGATCCTCAAAGACAACCTGCATCCACATAATTAAAATTCGTCATTGCCAGCAAAAACGAGCGAGAACGTACCAAGAATTCTTCCGGGCTGAGCGAACTGCCAAACGCTGCTTTTCCTAATGGACTTATTTTTGTAGACCTGTAACTCCTGATCCCACTCTATGAGTCGCTTGTGGCACAGAAAAGAATCTTGAGCAGACTTCACGACGTCATCAAAAGGCTGTGTAGAGTTGAGAAGGGTGCAGAGCGGTTCACATCCTGTGCCCACCTCCAAAACGAGCTCTCATCATTCCATTCTTTTCCTCGGCGAGACATGACCGCAACGGTTGACAACCTTCTCTCCGAGTGAGTTCGCTTTGTGATGGTACGAACTGCAAGTGAAGTATCTGGAGGTAGCGTTTTACTCCCGTGAGTCCCAAAATATCCACGGACACAACATGTTCCAAGCCTCCTCAAGCCACTCCCATCGACAGAACCGCAAACGTAAGGCTTCCATGCGTACAGCACTTGCGAAAGTCCCAGCTGTGAAAGTTGCCCTCTAAAGTTGCCACCTCTTTCCACGTCCATGGTTGTTTTTCTCTGTCCAGCACCGCGACCACAGCTTTAGAATCATGTATCCCACAGCATGTCGAAGAGCTATCCACAGCACTCCACTAAACTCCATTTGGATCCGCTAAACTCCGCCACATCTTCGATCTGGAGCAGCACAAGTGCGGAGTGGTGCGAGAAGTAACTGAGATAGTACTGATGAACACCGTGTTGAGAGACGTCAGGCAAACCGTTTGGTAGCGAGGAAGTGTCCTAATACCCAGCCTCGAGTCAAACACGTACGGGGAAAGCGAGATCCGGAAGAATTGCTTGCCGTCACTGACATACGTCGCCAGCACCTGTGTGCACTTGTCGATAAAACTGTCGATAGACCCATTGCTGCGTCAGTGGATTCCCCACCAGGAAATGCTTCTTGTTGACGAAGATCTTCCTCCGGTCGCATAAGACGAGGCCGCGTGAGAAAGGTATGGCACAGAACATTCGGGTGCAAACCGAGACTCCCAAGAATCCGGCAGCTCTTTTATGACGGGTTCATTTCTGCAAAACAGCGAAGTTGTTGTTTCAAGGAAAGGAACGAGTATAAAAAGTATCACCAAGGCCAGCTGGAAGATGATATCGCAAGTACCGAGTAGGTTCATCAAGTCGGTGGTGCAGTAACAACACGATTTTGGTTTGAGAGTGACCATTTTGTCTCCACAGGAGCCTGAAACTCGGATCATCCAGCATGCGAGCCCAGTGCTTGCATACCAGCTTGGACCATGCTACGTCTGCGGCTAGTAGCCAGGAGAGTAAATGTGTCTGAAGCTCCAGCGGTAAGCTTCAGCAGGAAGAATTAAAAGGAGAAGCAGAAATCCAGTTAGCTCTAAAGCTTAAGTTAAAGGAGAGAAAAATAACCTTTTCCTCTAGGAGTTGGTTGTTGTAGCTCGTTGAATTGTGATGCCTCCTCTGCATGCATTGGTGAGAGAGCTTTCAAGTTCGTCAGCTCTACCAGCATCGAGCGAGAGTTGGATTTCTACACTGCTACTTTCATCATCTTCGTCATAGCTTTCTTTAATGTTCTCGGTTCCGTGAAGCTGAAGCTGGATTCATCGCCCATCAAGTCAGAAAGAACAAAACTAATAACACCAAAGCTTACAAGAGGGTACACAGCTCCAAGATGATCAAACCCAAACTTGAGAACCAGGGAGATCTACACACTCGATGCAAGTCAGGAGACAACACCAAACTACATAAGAAAACCTTTGCTTTGACAATGTGCGTCGGTGCGTCTTTGAGGCAGTCAGCAGCGATTCCTCCATAAGCTCGAACGAGTCCTCCAGTTCCAAGCTTCGTTCCACCAAAGTACCTGGATTTCCAATTAGCCTTTGTTCTTTCGTTTGGAAAAACGATGATAGGTACCTCGTGACAACGACCATAACTCCATCCACACCAGAATTTTCTATGGCAGCATAGATTGGCCGTCCTGCCGTTCCTCCAGGCTCTCCATCATCGCTAAAACGATAGCGTTCTTTGATCTAAGCTGGAAGAAAATGAAACATTCAAGCAAGGAAACGAAGAAGGCGAAATAAATGAACCACATTGTAAGCCCAGCACTCGTGAGTTGCCCGTGGATCCAAGACCTTGCAAACAAAAGAATGAGCTGAGATCGCGATTTTCTTCTTTGCAAAACTAGACCTGGGAGAGAAATGCCAATGCGCCTTGTTCATCGTCCACTGTCCAGAGCGGCCGTGGCGATGAACTTACTTCCTTTCATCTCGCACTGCGAAGAAAACCTGCTGTATATGCCGATGCTGCGCCATCGCTCCAAGATTTCGCTCCTCTCTGGCGACTGAAATGCATATACATTGGCGCCAGCGCCGCCGTCCTTCCATCGATCGGCGACCTAGCACCAGCTAGAAAAACCCTAGACGAGGAATCCAAGCCCAAGCGCGAGTGCCTTTCGAAAATTGCGGTGCTATAGAATCTTGACACACTCGTGGCGCAATCCTCACCGTCAGTTCATCCACTGTTCCCGCTCTCTCTCTCTCTCTCGGTAAGTCGGCAATGTCAACATCAAAGCAGGTTTGATCTTCCCAATTCCATGCATTCTCTCTCTCTCTCTCTCTAGGAAGTTCTCGCTACATGTAGCTCCTGGGATTTTGGAGTGTCTTGAAATATACGTACTCATTTGATCATTTTTATCGGCTAGCTCTCACTGTTCTTCTTCTTTTCTGCCTATTTCTTTCAAGAGAAGCTGGCCAGAAAGACGAATTTTCTTGTACAAATCATCGGGAAAAGAAGAAATGGAGACTAGCTCTCATTGATTATCTCAAGAGAAATACGGAAATATAATAAGCTTAAGTGAAAAACCTTTTACAAAATTTTAAGCTCATCTGATTCTCAAACCTTCTTGCAGCCCCAGGAACATCTTCAGTGTCAAGTTTGAATAGCTCATCCTCCTTCAGGTCAACATATTCTGACGCAGGAACTATGGTGTTGCAGTTGGAGCAGCTGGATACCTGGACTATCGTCGATGGTGCCTCCACTTACATTGAGAGTCCGGGACCAATTCTCCAGTGCGTTTCCGACGTGAAATCCAATCACCATGAGTTTGCGAAACAGGGAATCTACGTGTATATGGAGCCCTGGACGCTGCAGGATTGTGATGACGGCGCCAAGGCAGTTGGCTTGAACACCATGGATATGCGAGATCGATATCCCTACTGCGGAGGAGTTCCCGAGTAGACTCAAGAGCCTCATCAACAACACTTTTGCGAATGTTAGCAACGTCTCCAAGTTATTGAAGAATCCTGATAGCGAGTTTTCCAACAAGATTTTACATTATAGGTCAGTTCTTTGCTTTTTCTTCTTTCGAATACATGCTCTTCTTTTGCAGGTCTCAGCGTCCACAAGAAATGGAGGCATCTAGATAAAAGGGTGGAAAGTAAAAGAGGTTTAATAAAACTCCCTTTACCCAAAACTTTACACACACATTTCATCCCTTAAGCTTGTAAAAAAGGAAATATTTTAGGTTTTCACTTGTCCTTTCAGCAGAGAAGCCAGCAGCAATGCCAAACAAAAGCAGCAAGGTGTACAAGGAGCTCCATCTTCTCCAGAACTACCCACTGTTTTGGTCTTCGTCCTCCCAGCACAGTAGCCTCCAGTTTGGAAGCGTGGATGAGCTGAAATCGTACCTGAAACAGCAGCACCCGACCTGTATGAAGTGCAATCGTGGTGAGTGCAGCAACTTCGACTACTTTAACAACGACAACATTGGCCAGCCAAGGTATCGCTGCAGTCAGTGCAAGGAAAAATTCACTTATGGTGGAAAAACAAGACCAACCTACATGAAGCGGCCCAGATCAAGCAGCACTGAGGAAGTTGGCATGGCACATGAGAACAAGAAGCTCAAGCGCGCTCCAGTTGAAGATGAGACGAAGAAGGGTTTGCTGGTCCACGAAAGTCAAGCGAAGCAGAGTGGTCAACAGGCCGATAAAGCTGGGGCGGTGATCAGGGTGGAGGACAAGGAAGAGTTTGACATGGATGACCTGGAGGTGGCTAGAATCATGGCACTGGTCGAGGAGAATGAAGTCCCAAACGAGGAGGAACACATCCCTCTTGTGTTCCCTGAAGTGGCAGAAATTGTAGTGAGTGATGAAGAGATGACTGAAATTCTGTCGTCAAATCTTGAGGATGTGGATGATGAGGAGATGCTAAATCTCGTGCTTGAGGAGGTTTTGGAGCGGCCAAAACACGAGGAGGGCTTGGCGGAAATTCAAATTGGCAATGGGGAAACGAGCCAAATCCTCCAAAAGAATGTGGACAATGAGGATCTTGTGCTTGAGGGGGATTCTCAGGAGGAGCAGGCAGAGGCAATGGAGGGGGACATTTGTTTTGCTCTCGAGCTTGAACAGGATCTCCAGGCCGAAGAAGATAAGCGAAAGGAGGAATCCATGATGCTCTGGAAGATTGAATTGGAGAAAGCTAAATGGAGTGATATTTTTAATTTTAAAACTAATCGGCAGGGTAGTATTCTTGGTTGATTGAATCAACAACAAAATCAACACAATCAGGATAGAAAAAAAAAACAAATACTCCCATGTTTGGTGTAAAATTTATTAATAGTATTAGATCGAAGTACCACTTTTTTGAATTAAAGATGATGTTCACAACAAGAATTTTTCACTGGTCCTGAAATCGATCAAAACCTTGTTTCCAGATCTGATGTGACAGCGGCAAGATCGGGTCCTTGGCCTTCTTTTCCGCAATGCTCCAAACGCATTGGGGCCATGGTTACCATTTTCTTGCATAATTACTGCTCGGTTTTCCTTGTCAGTGCTATGAACGTCGGCCTTGCTCTCGTCCTGCTTTGGAGATCGAGGCCATCGAGGCCTCTCAACTCTGGCATATAAAGACTGCGACAGCGAATGGGGAATCGTTGCTCCAAGAGCTTGAAAGGCCGAGAAAGCAGCTATGCGCGTCTCTTCTGCTCGATCCAGGACAATTCTCCCTGCTCCGTTGCAGCATACATCCATACCAGCATCTATCACAACAAGCTTGCGAGTAAAAGCATTCGGTATATAAGAGAAACAAACCTACATGTCCTTTGAATGAAGAATCGCACAGTGCGTTTGTAAATTCAGGAATTGTAGCCTCAGCTACAGCTTCAACTGTTCGTAAGCCCGCTTTGTATAAACACCTAGCTCGTGCAGCCTGTGAAAACATAAAAGAAAGGTAAAACAATCAAAGAAAGAGCTTGCACAGTGCCCCTCGGCACCTTGAACGTACTGCAGACGTCCATTAGCGGCACTTCCTAGTGGCGAAACTTCAGTATTATGGAACAAAGGTCGACCATACATACCTGAACAAGCTTGGACAATATAAGAGCCACAAAAAAGCGTCTGTACACACGCAAGTTTTGATTCGCCTCGCTAGCCTTCTCACTAGCTTTTAGACTCCTTTTACAGCCCTGCATTGGTGCTCCATGAGCCATGCGCATCAGGGATGCCTCGGTCACCCCAACTGTAGCAACTGCCTGTAAAATGCGAAAGCATTACAATGTCTATTTCTAGCTTTCGTCTATAAGAACCTGATCCACATAGGACAATTCGACAAATCTTTGACAGTAAACTCCCCAGTCCGGTTCAAGCTCCATGTGTATAGGAGTAACCTCGTAAACAAGGTGCAAATCCGACGCTAAAACAAAACTATCACGGGCTTTAGCAAGATCCTCAAAGACAACCTGCATCCACATAATTAAAATTCGTCATTGCCAGCAAAAACGAGCGAGAACGTACCAAGAATTCTTCCGGGCTGAGCGAACTGCCAAACGCTGCTTTTCCTAATGGAGTTATTTTTGTAGACCTGTAACTCCTGATCCCACTCTATCAGTCGCTTGTGGCACAGAAAAGAATCTTGAGCAGACTTCACGACGTCATCAAAAGGCTGTGTAGAGTTGAGAAGGGTGCAGAGCGGTTGACATCCTATGCCCACCTCCAAAACGAGCTCTCATCATTCCATTCTTTTCCTCGGCGAGACATGACCGCAACGGTTGACAACCTTCTTTCAGAATGGGAAGCTCCTCACTTTTACAGATTAATATCTGGAAAACCAACATTCGGCAAATTTCAGAATACATAAACGAGACAAGTCTTACACTCTCGCCATGCGTGTCTATCCCTGCTCTTCTTGCTCTTCCAGCCATTTGCCTGTATCTCGTCGGGCAGTGGTTTCGCAGGCATGACGACTTGAACAAAACAAAAGCACAGAATGGCCTTACTAACCACCTAGACAACAAAGAGCACAAACTGAAATCAGTAAGAGCTATGAAAGGTCTTTGTCAAAACACAAAAGTAACCTCATGGCATGGATGGACGATGTGATCTGGATCCTTGCCGCTAAGTTCAGAGCCTGCTTTTAGAGCACGAACAGTATTCATACTAGTATCGTAAATGACTTCAATGTGTTCATCTAAAGGAACCGGGCGAGGCGAAAGTTAGTCTCATAAAATGCAGCCTGCAAATTATCATCAAGGTCTGTAAGACTTGAATAAAAGATTGCAATACCTGAAGCCATGATGCAACGGCTGCTACATTAGGCATCGTTGCACTCATTCCTATAATTTGCAAGCTCGTGGGGCCGTCGTGTTGCTGCTTTCATAGTCACCTTTACCGGCCGCATATCGTAGCTTAGTTCTAGCAAATAACCTCTCTCTTTATCTCCAACCTGCACTAGACTGTTATAAGAAAGATATTGGGATGTCAGTATACATACCATATGAAGCTCATCTATAACTACGACTGCTAGTTGGGACAGCTGCCCGTCCGAGTGAGTTCGCTTTTTGATGGTACGAACTGCAAGTGAAGTATCTTGAGGTAGCGTTTTACTCCCGTGAGTCCCAAAATATCCACGGACACAACATGTTCCAAGCCTCCTCAAGCCACTCCCATCGACAGAACCGCAAACGTAAGGCTTCCATGCGTACAGCACTTGCGAAAGTCCCAGCTGTGAATGTTGCCCTCTAAAGTTGCCACCTCTTTCCACGTCCATGGTTGTTTTTCTCTGTCCAGCACCGCGACCACAGCTTTAGAATCATGTATCCCACAGCATGTCGAAGAGCTATCCACAGCACTCCACTAAACTCCATTTGGATCCGCTAAACTCCGCCACATCTTCGATCTGGAGCAGCACAAGTGCGGAGTGGTGCGAGAAGTAACTGAGATAGTACTGATGAACACCGTGTTGAGAGACGTCAGGCAAACCGTTTGGTAGCGAGGAAGTGTCCTAATACCCAGCCTCGAGTCAAACACGTACGGGGAAAGCGAGATCCGGAAGAATTGCTTGCCGTCACTGACATACGTCGCCAGCGCCTGTGTGCAGTTGTCGAAAAAACTGTCGATAGGATGGACCTGGACCCATTGCTGCGTCAGTGGATTCCCCACCAGGAAATGCTTCTTGTTGACGAAGATCTTCCTCCGGTCGCATAAGACGAGGCCGCCGTGAGAAAGGTATGGCACAGAAGCTTCGGGTGCAAACCGAGATTCCCAAGAATCCGGCAGCTCTTTTATGACTGGTTCATTTCTGCAAAAGAGCGAAGTTGTTATTTCAAGAAAAGGAACGAGTATAAAAAAGTATCACCGAGGCCAGCTCGAAGATGATATCGCAAGTACCGAGTAGGTTCATCAAGTCGGTGGTGCAGTAACAACACGGTTTTTGTTTGAGAGTGACCATTTTGTCTCCACAGGAACCTGAAACTCGGATCATCCAGCATGCGAGCCCAGTGCTTGCATACCAGCTTGGACCGTGCTACCCATTGCAGACCGCTGGAATTGAGAAGCAGAAATCTAGTTAGCTCTAAACCTTAAGTCAGATATAAGCTTTTACTCTGGGATTTGGTTGTTGTAGCTCGTCGAATTGTGATGCCTCGGGGCTCTGCATGCATTGGTGAGAGAGCTCTCAAGTTCGTCAGCTCTACCAGCATCGACCAGAGTTGGATTTCTACACTGCTACTTTCATCGTCTTCGTCATAGCTTAGCTCGAGCTATCCTCCAGTTCCAAGCTTCGTTCCACCAAAGTACCTGGATTTCCAATTAGCTTTTGTTCTTTCGTTTGGAAAAACGATGATAGGTACCTCGTGACAACGATCATAACTCCATCCACACCAGAATTTTCTCTGGCAGCATCTTCCTGCCGTCCCTCCAGGCTCTCCACCATCGCTAACACGATAGCGTTCTTTGATCCAAGCTGGAAGAAAATGAAACATTCAAGCAAGGAAACGAAGAAGGCGAAACAAATGAACCACCTTGTAAGCCCAGCACTCGTGAGTTGCCCGTGGATCCAAGACCTTGCAAACAAAAGAATGAGCTGAGATCGCGATTTTCTTCTTTGCAAAACTAGACCTGGGAGAGAAATGCCAATGCGCCTTGTTCATCGTCCACTGTCCAGAGCGGCCGTGGCGATGAACTTACTTCCTTTCATCTCGCACTGCGAAGAAAACCTGCTGTATATGCCGATGCTGCGCCATCGCTCCAAGATTTCGCTCCTCTCTGGCGACTGAAATGCATATACATTGGCGCCAGCGCCGCCGTCCTTCCATCGATCGGCGATCTAGCACCAGCTAGAAAAACCCTAGACGAGGAATCCAAGCCCAAGCGCGAGTGCCTTTCGAAAATTGCGGTGCTATAGAATCTTGACACACTCGTGGCGCAATCCTCACCGTCAGTTCATCCACTGTTCCCGCTCTCTCTCTCTCTCTCGGTAAGTCGGCAATGTCAACATCAAAGCAGGTTTGATCTTCCCAATTCCATGCATTCTCTCTCTCTCTCTCTAGGAAGTTCTCGCTACATGTAGCTCCTGGGATTTTGGAGTGTCTTGAAATATACGTACTCATTTGATCATTTTTATCGGCTAGCTCTCACTGTTCTTCTTCTTTTCTGCCTATTTCTTTCAAGAGAAGCTGGCCAGAAAGACGAATTTTCTTGTACAAATCATCGGGAAAAGAAGAAATGGAGACTAGTTCTCATTGATTATCTCAAGAGAAATACGGAAATATAATAAGCTTAAGTGAAAAACCTTTTACAAAATTTTAAGCTCATCTCATTCTCAAACCTTCTTGCAGCCCCAGGAACATCTTCAGTGTCAAGTTTGAATAGCTCATCCGCCTTCAGGTCAACATATTCTGACGCGGGAACTATGGTGTTGCAGTTGGAGCAGCTGGATACCTGGACTATCGCCGATGGTGCCTCCATTTACATTGAGAGTCCGGGACCAATTCTCCAGTGCGTTTCCGACGTGAAATCCAATCACCATGAGTTTGCGAAACAGGGAATCTACGTGTATATGGAGCCCTGGACGCTGCAGGATTTTGATGACAGCGGCAAGGCAGTTGGCTTGAACATCACGGATATGCGAGATCGATATCCCTACTGCGGAGGAGTTCCCAGATACATCTTTTACTCGGACACGAGCAGACTCAAGAGCCTCATCAACGATGCTTTTGCGAATGTTAGCAACGTCTGCGAGTTATTGAAGAATCCTGATAGCGAGTTTTCCAACAAGATTTTACATTATAGATCAGTTCTTTGCTTTTTCTTCTTTCAATACATGCTCTTCTTTTGCACGTCTCAGCGTCCACAAGAAATAGATATAAGGGTGGAAATTAAAAGATGTTTAATAAAACTCCCTTTACCCAAAACTTTAAACACACATTTCATCCCTTAAGCTTGTAAAAAAGGACATATTTTAGGTTTTCACTTGTTGTCCTTTCAGCAGAGAAGCCAGCAGCGATGCCAAACAAAAGCAGCAAGGTGTACAAGGAGCTCCATCTTCTCCAGAACTACCCACTGTTTTGGTCTTCGTCCTCCCAGCAGACTAGCCTTCAGTTTGGAAGTGTGGATGAGTTGAAATCGTACCTGAAAAAGCAGCACCCGACCTGTATGAAGTGCAATCGCGGTGAGTGCGGCAACTTCGATTACTTCAACAACGACAACATTGGCCAGCCAAGGTATCGCTGCAGTCAGTGCAATAAAAAATTCACTTATGGCGGAAAAACAAGACCAACCTACATGAAGCGGCCAAGATCGAGCAGCAATGAGGAAGTTGGCATGGCACATGAGAACAAGAAGCTCAAGCGCGCTCCAGTTGAAGACGAGATGAGCAAGGGTTCGCTGGTCCACGAAAGTCAAGCGAAGCAGAGTGGTCAACAGGCCGATAAAGCTGGGGCGGTGATCCGGGTGGGGGACATGGAAGATTTTGACATGGATGACTTGGAGGTGGCTAGAATCATGGCACTGGTCGAGGAGAATGAAGTCCCAAACGAGGAGGAACACATCCCTCTTGTGTTCCCTGAGGTGGCAGAAATTGTAGTGAGTGACGAAGAGATGACTGAAATTCTGTCGTCAAATCTCGAGGATGTGGATGATGAGGAGATGCTAAATCTCGTGCTTGAGGAGGTTTTGGAGCGGCCAAAACACGAGGAGGGCTTTGCGGAAATTCAAATTGGCAATGGGGAAACGAGCCAAATCCTCCAAAAGAATGTGGACAATGAGGATCTTGTGCTTGAGGGGGATTCTCAGGAGGAGAAGGCAGAGGCAATGGAGGGGGACATTTATTTTGCTCTCGAGCTTGAACAGGATCTCCAGGCCGAAGAAGATAAGCGAAAGGAGGAATCCATGATGCTCTGGAAGATTGAATTGGAGAAAGCTAAATGGAGTGGTATGTTTAATTTCAAAACAAATCGGCAGATTGAATCAACAATCAAATGAACACAATCAGGATAGAAAAAGAAAAACAAATACTTCCATGTTTGGTGTAAAATTTATTAATAGTATTAGATCGAAGTACCACTTTTTTTGAATTAAAGATGATGTTCACAACAAGAATTTTCCACTGGTCCTGAAATCGGGAAGCAGTCTTATTGGCCTGGGCATGTATCAAGACCTTGTTTCCAGATTTAAGATGTGACAGCGGCAAGATCGGGTCCTTGGCCTTCTTTTCCGCCATGGTTACCATTTTCTTGCATAATTACTGCTCGGTTTTCCTTGTCAGTGCTATGAACGTCGGCCTTGCCCTCATCTTGCTTTGGAGATATGGCCATCTCGTCTGTCTCAGCCTGAGGCCTCTCAACACTGCGACAGCGAATGCGGAATCGTTGCTCCAAGAGCTTGAAAGGCCGAGAATGCAGAATCGTTGCTCCAAGAGAAAGTAGCTATTCGGGCCGAGAAAGTAATCCAAAGACTGCGACAGCGAATGCGGAATCGTTGCTCCAAGAGCTTGAAAGGCCGAGAATGCGGAATCGTTGCTCCAAGAGAAAGTAGCTATTCGGGCCTCTTCTGCTCGATCTAGGACAATTCTCCCTGCTCCGTTTACTATTTTCTTTGCCGCTGCACCATACATCCACTGCTGCTTACCAGCATCTATTACAAAAAGCTTGCCAGTAAAAGCATATAAGAAAAGCCAACCTGCATGTTCTTTGAATGAAGAATCGCACAGTGCGTTTGCAAGTTCAGGAATTGTAGCCTCAGCTACAACTTCAACTGTTCGTACGCCCGCTTTGTATAAACATCTAGCTCGCGCAGCCTGTGAAAACATAAAATAAAGGTAAAACAGTCCAAGAGCTTGCACTTCCTAGTGCCGAAACTTCAGTATTATGGAACAAAGGTCGACCATACATACCTGAACAAGCTTGGACAATATAAGAGCCACAAAAAAGCGTCTGTACACACGCAAGTTTTGATTCGCCTCGCTAGCCTTCTCACTAGCTTTTAGACTCCTTTTACGGCCCTGCATTGGTGCTCCATGAGCCATGCGCATCAGGGATGCCTCGGTCACCCCAACTCTAGCAACTGCCTGTAAAATGCGAAAGCATTACAATGTCTATTTCTAGCTTTCGTCTATAAGAACCTGATCGACATAGGTCAATTCGACAAATCTTTGACAGTAAACTCCCCAGTCCGGTTCAAGCTCCATGTGAATAGGAGTAACCTCGTAAACAAGGTGCAAATCCGACGCTAAAACAAAACTATCACGGGCTTTAGCAAGATCCTCAAAGACAACCTGCATCCACATAATTAAAATTCGTCATTGCCAGCAAAAACGAGCGAGAACGTACCAAGAATTCTTCCGGGCTGAGCGAACTGCCAAACGCTGCTTTTCCTAATGGACTTATTTTTGTAGACCTGTAACTCCTGATCCCACTCTATCAGTCGCTTGTGGCACAGAAAAGAATCTTGAGCAGACTTCACGACGTCATCAAAAGGCTGTGTAGAGTTGAGAAGGGTGCAGAGCGGTTCACATCCTGTGCCCACCTCCAAAACGAGCTCTCATCATTCCATTCTTTTCCTCGGCGAGACATGACCGCAACGGTTGACAACCTTCTCTCCGAGTGAGTTCGCTTTGTGATGGTACGAACTGCAAGTGAAGTATCTGGAGGTAGCGTTTTACTCCCGTGAGTCCCAAAATATCCACGGACACAACATGTTCCAAGCCTCCTCAAGCCACTCCCATCGACAGAACCGCAAACGTAAGGCTTCCATGCGTACAGCACTTGCGAAAGTCCCAGCTGTGAAAGTGCCCTCTAAAGTTGCCACCTCTTTCCACGTCCATGGTTGTTTTTCTCTGTCCAGCACCGCGACCACAGCTTTAGAATCATATATCCCACAGCATGTCGAAGAGCTATCCACAGCACTCCACTAAACTCCATTTGGATCCGCTAAACTCCGCCACATCTTCGATCTGGAGCAGCACAAGTGCGGAGTGGTGCGAGAAGTAACTGAGATAGTACTGATGAACACCGTGTTGAGAGACGTCAGGCAAACCGTTTGGTAGCGAGCAAGTGTCCTAATACCCAGCCTCGAGTCAAACACGTACGGGGAAAGCGCGATCCGGAAGAATTGCTTGCCGTCACTGACATACGTCGCCAGCACCTGTGTGCACTTGTCGATAAAACTGTCGATAGGATGGAGCTGGACCCATTGCTGCGTCAGTGGATTCGAAACCGGCATAAGACGAGGCCGCCGTGAGAAAGGTATGGCACAGAACATTCGGGTGCAAACCGAGACTCCCAACAATCCGGCAGCTCTTTCATGACTGGTTCCTTTCTGCAAAAGAGCGAAGTTGTTATTTCAAGGAAATGCAGTATAAAAGTATCACCAAGGCCAGCTGGAAGATGATATCGCAAGTACCGAGTAGGTTCATCAAGTCGGTGGTGCATGAACAACACGATTTCGGTTTACGAGTGACCATTTTGTCTCCACAGGAGCCTGAAACTCGGATCATCCAGCATGCGAGCCCAGTGCTTGCATACCAGCTTGGACCATGCTACGTCTGCGGCTAGTAGCCAGGAGAGTAAATGTGTCTGAAGCTCCAGCGGTAAGCTTCAGCAGGAAGAATTAAAAGGAGAAGCAGAAATCCAGTTAGCTCTAAAGCTTAAGTTAAAGGAGAGAAAAATAACCTTTTCCTCTAGGAGTTGGTTGTTGTAGCTCGTTGAATTGTGATGCCTCCTCTGCATGCATTGGTGAGAGAGCTTTCAAGTTCGTCAGCTCTACCAGCATCGAGCGAGAGTTGGATTTCTACACTGCTACTTTCATCATCTTCGTCATAGCTTTCTTTAATGTTCTCGGCTCCGTGAAGCTGAAGCTGGATTCATCGCCCATCAAGTCAGAAAGAACAAAACTAATAACACCAAAGCTTACAAGAGGGTACACAGCTCCAAGATGATCAAACCCAAACTTGAGAACCAGGGAGATCTACACACTCGATGCAAGTCAGGAGACAACACCAAACTACATAAGAAAACCTTTGCTTTGACAATGTGCGTCGGTGCGTCTTTGAGGCAGTCAGCAGCGATTCCTCCATAAGCTCGAACGAGTCCTCCAGTTCCAAGCTTCGTTCCACCAAAGTACCTGGATTTCCAATTAGCCTTTGTTCTTTCGTTTGGAAAAACGATGATAGCTACCTCCTGACAACGACCATAACTCCATCCACACCAGAATTTTCTATGGCAGCATAGATTGGCCGTCCTGCCGTTCCTCCAGGCTCTCCACCATCGCTAACACGATAGCGTTCTTTGATCCAAGCTGGAAGAAAATGAAACATTCAAGCAAGGAAACGAAGAAGGCGAAACAAATGAACCACCTTGTAAGCCCAGCACTCGTGAGTTGCCCGTGGATCCAAGACCTTGCAAACAAAAGAATGAGCTGAGATCGCGATTTTCTCTAGACCTGGGAGAGAAATGCCAATGCGCCTTGTTCATCGTCCACTGTCCAGAGCGGCCGTGGCGATGAACTTACTTCCTTTCATCTCGCACTGCGAAGAAAACCTGCTGTATATGCCGATGCTGCGCCATCGCTCCAAGATTTCGCTCCTCTCTGGCGACTGAAATGCATATACATTGGCGCCAGCGCCGCCGTCCTTCCATCGATCGGCGATCTAGCACCAGCTAGAAAAACCCTAGACGAGGAATCCAAGCCCAAGCGCGAGTGCCTTTCGAAAATTGCGGTGCTATAGAATCTTGACACACTCGTGGCGCAATCCTCACCGTCAGTTCATCCACTGTTCCCGCTCTCTCTCTCTCTCTCGGTAAGTCGGCAATGTCAACATCAAAGCAGGTTTGATCTTCCCAATTCCATGCATTCTCTCTCTCTCTCTCTCTAGGAAGTTCTCGCTACATGTAGCTCCTGGGATTTTGGAGTGTCTTGAAATATACGTACTCATTTGATCATTTTTATCGGCTAGCTCTCACTGTTCTTCTTCTTTTCTGCCTATTTCTTTCAAGAGAAGCTGGCCAGAAAGACGAATTTTCTTGTACAAATCATCGGGAAAAGAAGAAATGGAGACTAGCTCTCATTGATTATCTCAAGAGAAATACGGAAATATAATAAGCTTAAGTGAAAAACCTTTTACAAAATTTTAAGCTCATCTGATTCTCAAACCTTCTTGCAGCCCCAGGAACATCTTCAGTGTCAAGTTTGAATAGCTCATCCTCCTTCAGGTCAACATATTCTGACGCAGGAACTATGGTGTTGCAGTTGGAGCAGCTGGATACCTGGACTATCGCCGATGGTGCCTCCACTTACATTGAGAGTCCGGGACCAATTCTCCAGTGCGTTTCCGACGTGAAATCCAATCACCATGAGTTTGCGAAACAGGGAATCTGCGTGTATATGGAGCCCTGGAAGCTGCAGGATTGTGATGACGGCGCCAAGGCAGTTGGTTTGAACATCACGGATATGCGAGATCGATATCCCTACTGCGGAGGAGTTCCCAGATACATCTTTTACTCGGACACGAGCAGACTCAAGAGCCTCATCAACGATGCTTTTGCGAATGTTAGCAACGTCTGCGAGTTATTGAAGAATCCTGATAGCGAGTTTTCCAACAAGATTTTACATTATAGATCAGTTCTTTGCTTTTTCTTCTTTCAATACATGCTCTTCTTTTGCACGTCTCAGCGTCCACAAGAAATAGATATAAGGGTGGAAATTAAAACATGTTTAATAAAACTCCCTTTACCCAAAACTTTAAACACACATTTCATCCCTTAAGCTTGTAAAAAAGGACATATTTTAGGTTTTCACTTGTTGTCCTTTCAGCAGAGAAGCCAGCAGCGATGCCAAACAAAAGCAGCAAGGTGTACAAGGAGCTCCATCTTCTCCAGAACTACCCACTGTTTTGGTCTTTGTCCTCCCAGCAGAGTACGTTTGGAAGCGTGGATGAGCTGAAATCGTACCTGAAACAGCAGCACCCGACCTGTATGAAGTGCAATCGTGGTGAGTGCAGCAACTTCGACTACTTCAACAATGACAACATTGGCCAGCCAAGGTATCGCTGCAGTCAGTGCAAGGAAAAATTCACTTATGGTGGAAAAACAAGACCAACCTACATGAAGCGGCCAAGATCAAGCAGCACTGGGGAAGTTGGCATGGCACATGAGAAGAAGAAGCTCAAGCGCGCTCCATTTGAAGACGAGAGGAAGAAGGGTTCGCTGGTCCACGAAAGTCAAGCGAAGCAGAGTGGTCAACAGGCCGATAAAGCTGGGGCGGTGATCCAGGACATGGAAGATTTTGACATGGATGACCTGGAGGTGGCTAGAATCATGGCACTGGTCGAGGAGAATGAAGTCCCAAATGAGGAGGAACACATCCCTCTTGTGTTCCCTGAGGTGGCAGAAATTGTAGTGAGTGACGAAGAGATGACTGAAATTCTGTCGTCAAATCTCGAGGATGTGGATGATGAGGAGATGCTAAATCTCGTGCTTGAGGAGGTTTTGGAGCGGCCAAAACACGAGGAGGGCTTGGCGGAAATTCAAATTGGCAATGGGGAAACAAGCCAAATCCTCCAAAGGAATGTGGACAATGAGGATCTTGTGCTTGAGGGGGATTCTCAGGAGGAGCAGGCAGAGGCAATGGAGGGGGACATTTATTTTGCTCTTGAGCTTGAACAGGATCTTCAGGCCGAAGAAGATAAGCGAAAGGAGGAATCCATGATGCTCTGGAAGATTGAATTGGAGAAAGCTAAATGGAGTGATATTTTTAATTTTAAAACTAATCGGCAGGGTAGTATTCTTGGTTGATTGAATCAACAACAAAATCAACACAATCAGGATAGAAAAAAAAAACAAATACTCCCATGTTTAGTGTAAAATTTATTAATAGTATTAGATCGAAGTACCACTTTTTTGAATTAAAGATGATGTTCACAACAAGAATTTTTCACTGGTCCTGAAATCGATCAAAACCTTGTTTCCAGATCTGATGTGACAGCGGCAAGATCGGGTCCTTGGCCTTCTTTTCCGCAATGCTCCAAACGCATTGGGGCCATGGTTACCATTTTCTTGCATAATTACTGCTCGGTTTTCCTTGTCAGTGCTATGAACGTCGGCCTTGCTCTCGTCCTGCTTTGGAGATATGGCCATCGAGGCCTCTCAACTCTGGCATATAAAGACTGCGACAGCGAATGGGGAATCGTTGCTCCAAGAGCTTGAAAGGCCGTCTCTTCTGCTCGATCCAGGACAATTCTCCCTGCTCCGTTGCAGCATACATCCATACCAGCATCTATCACAACAAGCTTGCGAGTAAAAGCATTCGGTATATAAGAGAAACAAACCTACATGTCCTTTGAATGAAGAATCGCACAGTGCGTTTGCAAATTCAGGAATTGTAGCCTCAGCTACGGCTTTCAACTGTTCGTAAGCCCGCTTTGTATAAACACCTAGCTCGTGCAGCCTGTGAAAACATAAAAGAAAGGTAAAACAATCAAAGAAAGAGCTTGCACAGTGCCCCTCGGCACCTTGAACGTACTGCAGACGTCCATTAGCGGCACTTCCTAGTGGCGAAACTTCAGTATTATGGAACAAAGGTCGACCATACATACCTGAACAAGCTTGGACAATATAAGAGCCACAAAAAAGCGTCTGTACACACGCAAGTTTTGATCCTCTCACTACCTTTTATACTCCTTTTACAGCCCTGCATTGGTGCTCCATGAGCCATGCGCATCAGGGATGCCTCGGTCACCCCAACTGTAGCAACTGCCTGTAAAATGCGAAAGCATTACAATGTCTATTTCTAGCTTTCGTCTATAAGAACCTGATCCACATAGGACAATTCGACAAATCTTTGATAGTAAACTCCCCAGTCCGGTTCAAGCTCCATGTGAATAGGAGTAACCTCGTAAACAAGGTGCAAATCCGACGCTAAAACAAAACTATCACGGGCTTTAGCAAGATCCTCAAAGACAACCTGCATCCACATAATTAAAATTCGTCATTGCCAGCAAAAACGAGCGAGAACGTACCAAGAATTCTTCCGGGCGGAGCGAACTGCCAAACGCTGCTTTTCCTAATGGAGTTATTTTTGTAGACCTGTAACTCCTGATCCCACTCTATCAGTCGCTTGTGGCACAGAAAAGAATCTTGAGCAGACTTCACGACGTCATCAAAAGGCTGTGTAGAGTTGAGAAGGGTGCAGAGCGGTTGACATCCTATGCCCACCTCCAAAACGAGCTCTCATCATTCCATTCTTTTCCTCGGCGAGACATGACCGCAACGGTTGACAACCTTCTTTCAGAATGGGAAGCTCCTCACTTTTACAGATTAATATCTGGAAAACCAACATTCGGCAAATTTCAGAATACATAAACGAGACAAGTCTTACACTCTCGCCATGCGTGTCTATCCCTGCTCTTCTTGCTCTTCCAGCCATTTGCCTGTATCTCGTCGGGCAGTGGTTTCGCAGGCATGACGACTTGAACAAAACAAAAGCACAGAATGGCCTTACTAACCACCTAGACAACAAAGAGCACAAACTGAAATCAGTAAGACCTATGAAAGGTCTTTGTCAAAACACAAAAGTAACCTCATGGCATGGATGGACGATGTGATCTGGATCCTTGCCGCTAAGTTCAGAGCCTGCTTTTAGAGCACGAACAGTATTCATACTAGTATCGTAAATGACTTCAATGTGTTCGTCTAAAGGAACCGGGCGAGGCGAAAGTTAGTCTCATAAAATGCAGCCTGCAAATTATCATCATGGTCTGTAAGACTTGAATAAAAGATTGCAATACCTGAAGCCATGATGCAACGGCTGCTACATTAGGCATCGTTGCACTCATTCCTATAATTTGCAAGCTCGTGGGGCCGTCGTGCTGCTGCTTTCATAGTCACCTTTACCGGCCGCATATCGTAGCTTAGTTCTAGCAAATAACCTCTCTCTTTATCTCCAACCTGCACTAGACTGTTAGAAGAAAGATATTGGGATGTCAGTATACATACCATATGAAGCTCATCTATAACTACGACTGCTAGTTGGGACAGCTGCCCGTCCGAGTGAGTTCGCTTTTTGATGGTACGAACTGCAAGTGAAGTATCTTGAGGTAGCGTTTTACTCCCGTGAGTCCCAAAATATCCACGGACACAACATGTTCCAAGCCTCCTCAAGCCACTCCCATCGACAGAACCGCAAACGTAAGGCTTCCATGCGTACAGCACTTGCGAAAGTCCCAGCTGTGAAAGTTGCCCTCTAAAGTTGCCACCTCTTTCCACGTCCATGGTTGTTTTTCTCTGTCCAGCACCGCGACCACAGCTTTAGAATCATATATCCCACAGCATGTCGAAGAGCTATCCACAGCACTCCACTAAACTCCATTTGGATCCGCTAAACTCCGCCACATCTTCGATCTGGAGCAGCACAAGTGCGGAGTGGTGCGAGAAGTAACTGAGATAGTACTGATGAACACCGTGTTGAGAGACGTCAGGCAAACCGTTTGGTAGCGAGCAAGTGTCCTAATACCCAGCCTCGAGTCAAACACGTACGGGGAAAGCGCGATCCGGAAGAATTGCTTGCCGTCACTGACATACGTCGCCAGCACCTGTGTGCACTTGTCGATAAAACTGTCGATAGGATGGAGCTGGACCCATTGCTGCGTCAGTGGATTCGAAACCGGCATAAGACGAGGCCGCCGTGAGAAAGGTATGGCACAGAAGCTTCGGGTGCAAACCGAGACTCCCAACAATCCGGCAGCTCTTTCATGACTGGTTCCTTTCTGCAAAAGAGCGAAGTTGTTATTTCAAGGAAATGCAGTATAAAAGTATTACCGAAGCTGCTGGAAGGTAATATTGCAAGTAGCGAGTGGGTTCATCAAGTCGTTCGTGAAGCAACAAGACGGTCGAGTGACCATTTTGTCTCCACAGGAGCCTGAAACTCGGATCATCCAGCATGCGAGCCCAGTGCTTGCATACCAGCTTGGACCATGCTACGTCCGCGGCTAGTAGCCAGGAGAGTAAATATGTCTGAAGCTCCAGCGGTAAGCTTCAGCAGGAAGAATTAAAAGGAGAAGCAGAAATCCAGTTAGCTCTAAAGCTTAAGTTAAAGGAGAGAAAAATAACCTTTTACTCTAGGAGTTGGTTGTTGTAGCTCGTTGAATTGTGATGCCTCCTCTGCATGCATTGGTGAGAGAGCTTTCAAGTTCGTCAGCTCTACCAGCATCGAGCGAGAGTTGGATTTCTACACTGCTACTTTCATCATCTTCGTCATAGCTTTCTTTAATGTTCTCGGTTCCGTGAAGCTGAAGCTGGATTCATCGCCCATCAAGTCAGAAAGAACAAAACTAATAACACCAAAGCTTACAAGAGGGTACACAGCTCCAAGATGATCAAACCCAAACTTGAGAACCAGGGAGATCTACAAACTCGATGCAAGTCAGGAGACAACACCAAACTACATAAGGAAACCTTTGCTTTGACAATGTGCGTCGGTGCGTCTTTGAGGCAGTCAGCAGCGATTCCTCCATAAGCTCGAACGAGTCCTCCAGTTCCAAGCTTCGTTCCACCAAAGTACCTGGATTTCCAATTAGCCTTTGTTCTTTCGTTTGGAAAAACGATGATAGGTACCTCGTGACAACGACCATAACTCCATCCACACCAGAATTTTCTATGGCAGCATAGATTGGCCGTCCTGCCGTTCCTCCAGGCTCTCCATCATCGCTAAAACGATAGCGTTCTTTGATCTAAGCTGGAAGAAAATGAAACATTCAAGCAAAAAAACGAAGGCGAACTAAAAGAACCACCTTGTAAGCCCAGCAATTGTGAGTTGCGCGTGGATCCGAGACCTTAGAAACAAAAGAAATGAGTTATGATCGCGATTTTCTTCTTTGCAAAACTAGACCTCGGAGAGAATTGCCAATGCGCCTTGTTCGTCGTCCACTGGAGCTGCTGTGGCGATGAACTTACTTCGTTTGATCTCGCACTGCGAAGAAACCCTGGACGAGATTGTTGTGTATGCCAATGCTGCGCCATCGCTTGAAGATTTCGCTTGGCGACTGAAATGCATACACATTGGCGCCAGCGCAGCCTTCCATCCATCGATCGGCACTATGCTTTTAGCAAGCATCGCTCCCAGCTAAAAACCCTAGAAAAAAATCACGAGGAATCCAAGCACAAGCGCGAGTGGCTTTCGAAAATTGCGGTACTATAGAATCGTGACAAGTGGCAGAAGACATGTGGTCCCACGTGGCAGAATTCTAGTCGTTTGTCAGCAGGGTTTTTGTGATCTTCTAGCCCAGCTAGGGCGACGAGGAGAATCGATGCTCTCGCGGCGCTCATCTGCAATCATCGATCGTGTTTTCCTGGAATGTCGCTGCTTCACTCGGGGTATTCGCTGCTAATCCGTCGCCGGGAGCCGTGCTTCGCCACTGCCGAGCGCAATGCCGGATTGCGCTGCGATGCTGTGACAATTTCCAGGCGAGGAGCTTGGATAGAGGTAGATTTCTTGCCTTCTACTCTCGCGGCATTGTATATTGACGCTGGAGTTTCTTCGTTGGTCGCAGGAAGCGAGTGATAAGTGGGAGGGAAACGCTGTGAGGAGGAATTCTTCATGGATCGGGCCGAGAAAGAGCGTAATTCTTGTCATATAACATTCCATAGACTGGATTTTGATGAATTCGTCGCAGGGATTGAGAGGCCTTCACTGTTGCAGCCATCGATCGAAGAATGAAGGCGTTCTCAATGATTCTAAGAGGAACTTTTCTGTGGTCGCTTTAGAAAAGCATGTAAGTTGTGAAGATGCATAGCTTTTTTCTTGTTTTAAAACGAGAGTTTCAATGCAGAAGCCGAGAAGTGTTCGCTGTTGCAACAATCCAGCAAAGAAAGGAGCTGTGGATGTCGCTGAGAAAATCAGTTCTCCATCAATTCTTCCTGGAAAACATGTAAGAAAGAATTTCTCGTGTGTTTTCGACTGAAACTTTGTTGCCAGGATTCCAAACCCGAGAGTGTTGAGTCGTCACGTCCACCTTATCCTGCATGGGCCAGGCCTGTGGAAGTTGTCGCGGATTTCTTCGACGTGGACATAAGCAAAGGATTAAACCGTGATGCCATCGACAAGAAGAGGACCACGTATGGCTGGAACGAGTTGCAGAAGCCGGAAGGGACCTCGTTTTGGAAGCTTGTTCTCGAGCAGTTCGACGATACTCTGGTCCAGATCCTACTTGCGGCAGCAGGTGTATCTTTCGCTCTGGCCTTTTCGGAGCTTGAGCCGGGGAGTAAGCTTGGTCCTGGAGCTTTTACGGAGCCACTGGTGATACTTTCCATCATCATCTTAAACGCAGTCATCGGGGTCTGGCAGGAGAGCAAGGCCGAGAGCACTCTTCAGGCTCTGAAAGAGATGCAATCAGAAGAGGCCCGAGTTTTGAGAGATGGGAAGGAGATTGTGGATCTTCCAGCCAGAGAACTCGTGCCGGGTGATATAGTGGAACTACGAGCGGGTGATAAAGCCTCAGCTGATATGCGAGTTGCCTTCCTCAAGTCCGGGACCATAAGACTTCAGCAAGCGGCTCTCACTGGTGAAAGTCAGCCGGTTTTGAAGCAACCAGATTCTGAAAGTGACGAAGAGGTTGAAATTCAAGGGAAGGACAACATGGTTTTTGCTGGGACGACCGTGACGAATGGATCATGCATTTGTATAGTTACCGATACTGGGATGGCTACCGAGATTGGGAAGATTCAAACGCAGATACAGGACGCTTCTTTGTCAGACTATGACTCTCCTCTCACTCGTAAGCTGGACGAGTTTGCGGACGTTCTGACCAAGGTTGTCGCTGCGATTTGTGGTATTGTCTGGGTGGTGAACTACAAGTACTTTCTCACCTGGGACGTTTCGAATGGTCTGCCTTCGAATGTACAGTTCGACGTTGGACAGGCAACGTACTATTTCAAGGTAAGGTAAGGTTCCTTTCGAGAAGCCATACGTTCGGTGCAAGCTAACATGATTTCTTGCTGTGTTGGCAGACTATCATATTCTCCTGCCCGATGATTTCAATGACGCCTGGTTTTGCATCTCTGTGGTTATGAAGGTTGCAGTGGCGTTAGCTGTAGCAGCCATTCCTGAAGGTCTACCGGCTGTTATCACAACTTGTCTTGCTCTTGGAACGAGACGAATGGCCGAGGAGAATGCCATCGTACGAAAGCTGCCATCGGTAGAAACGCTGGGCTGCACAACAGTGATATGTTCCGACAAGACGGGAACACTGACGACCAACCAGATGTCAGTTGTGCAGCTACTGGCGGTTGAAGGTCCTGACGAACTGAGAACGTTTCGGGTTACTGGAACATCGTATGATCCAGACGACGGACACGTAATTGGTTTACCTTCAGAACTGGATCACAACCTTCGGACATTGGCTCGGATTTGTGCTCTGTGCAACGATGCTGGCATCCAATTCAAAAATGGCAGTTATAGCGCGACTGGAATGCCTACGGAAGCAGCAATGCTGGTAAGAAGAACTTTTGTTTCTTAGTAATATCAATAACGTGTGCCGAAATGTGGGCAGGTTCTTGTGGAGAAACTTGGTGTACCAGATAAACAGTCGCTTCAAAAGTTCAAGGCGAAGAGAATGGCCGATCCAGTTGGAGCTGCATTAAGTAAAGAACTGTGCCTTTTTCTGATCTTTATACTCATGTTTTCGTTTTTATGTTCAGCGGCTTGCGCTCATTTTAGCAAGACAAACCAGCGACTTTTTACTCTCGAGTTCGACCGTGTACGCAAGTCGATGAGTGTCATTGTGCAGGAGGACGAAGGAAACTCGTTGCTAGTCAAGGTACCTTCTGTTGATCTTTGCTAATCATTTATATCAACTTTCCATTCCAGGGAGCGGCAGAATTCGTCCTGGAAAGATGCACGAGTGTGCAGCTGAAAGACGGCTCGGTCGTGCCACTAACTCCGAGCTTCCGGGAAAATATCATCTCATGCATCAATGCTATGACGTCAAAGGGTCTTCGAGTACTTGCTCTTGCCTCGAAGAGCGACCTCGGTCCATTGTCCGATTATACGGGACCGGACCACCCTGCGCAGAACATACTCGTTAAGCCGGAGAGCTACGTCCTCGTCGAAAGTCAGCTAACGTTCGTAGGATTGGCGGGCTTGCAGGTCTGAATACATCCACTTGTGTGCTGCTCGCTTTTCTCATTTTGGCTTGCTGCAGGACCCTCCTCGGCCAGAAGTCAAGGAGGCAATCGATGACTGCAAGCGAGCTGGTATCCGCGTTATAGTCATCACTGGTGACAACAAGAACACAGCCGAAGCTATTTGTTGCGAGATAGGCCTGTTCTCCAGCCAGAACGATCTGAGCGAACACTCACTCACCGGCAAGGACTTCATGAAACTGTCAGTCAGTGACAGACGAGCGCTACTTCTCGGCAACCAGTCCGACAGCAAAGGCTTCGTTTTCTCTCGCTCGGAGCCCATACACAAGCAGGAGATCGTCCGGGTTCTCAAGGATGGCGGCGAGATCGTCGCAATGACCGGCGATGGCGTGAACGACGCACCGGCCTTGAAGCTAGCCGATATTGGAATCGCCATGGGCTTGAGTGGCACAGAGGTAACGTAGCTTCCATCGCTTTGAAGTTCTCTCTATCATCAACTTTGTGTTTGATTCTTCCAGGTGGCCAAGGAAGCTAGCGACATGGTTCTAGCCGACGATGACTTTGCAACGATCGTGGTAGCCGTGCGAGAAGGCCGGTCCATCTATGACAACATGAGAGCGTTCATTCGCTACCTCATCTCCTCCAACATCGGGGAGGTGGTGGCGATCTTCCTGACCGCCATCCTTGGAATGCCGCAAGGACTCATCCCAGTCCAGCTCCTCTGGGTGAATCTCGTCACGGACGGAGCGCCAGCCACGGCACTGGGATTCAATCCACCGGACACCGATATCATGGACAGGCCCCCGCGGCTTCCAACCGAAGGCTTCATCAGCGGCTGGACGCTCTTCCGGTTCCTCACGATCGGACTCTACGTTGGGCTTGCAACCATCGGGATCTTCGGCCTGTGGTACTTGAACGACGATTCCTTCCTCGGGATTGATCTCTCCAGGGACGGCCACACGGCAGTGAGCTTCCAGCAGCTAAGTCACTGGGGAGAGTGCCCGCTCTGGCCGGAGTTTCACGCCAATCCAGTGACCATCGCCGGGAACGAGGTGATGTCGTTCGCTTCCAGCTGCGATTACTTCACGGTCGGGAAGCTCAAGCCGTCGACGCTGGCGATGTCGACGCTGGTGATGATCGAGATGTTTAACGCGCTCAACGCGCTGTCCGAGACGAACAGCTTGCTCAAGGTCCGGCCTTGGGCGAACAAGTGGCTGCTGGTGGCCATCGCCGTGTCGCTTGGCTTGCATGGAACGATCCTCTACACGCCGTGGCTGGCCGAGGTGTTTGGAGTGGTGCCGCTGGATTGGAACGACTGGCTCTTGGTGCTCGCGTTCTCGTTCCCGGTGATTCCTCTGGATGAGGCCTTGAAGCTGGCCGGCCGAGTGTTCTTCCACAAGAAAGTCCAAGAGTAGCGAGTGACAGTTGCCTGGATGGAAATCACGTTAAAAACATCCACTAGAGGTATGCAATATTTTAAGTTATCACTGTTTACCTGTGTTTGCTGATAAACACTTTTTGTTCGGTTGATAGAGAGCTGGTTCCCGGTGATCACGGAAGAACCATTATCGTTTTATTGACCGCGATATTATTTTTCTTTGCGGATCTGACGCTCAACGTCAAGGGGTGGCAGTCACACGCATCAGTTAAGTTTGAAAATTTCAGAAGAATCTATCAAGAAGAAACAAAAGAATCCACAGTGAGAAGAAAAAGAGAAGGAAAAGACTGCTTACCTTAGCCGCGTCAAAGTTCCAGAGAGAGATTGATGCGTCGAGTAATGCCAACAGGACTTCGTTTCTAGAATCCTGCGAAGCTGCCGCGGTATAATCATGTTCCATAGTGCTGGTTGGTGTTGAAACTTTAAAAGCTCTGACGTATAATCGAGACCGTGTCAATCCATCTTGGAATTTACCCGTCCGTTAAGTTCGTGGTCTCGTCCGCTATAAAGTTGCTCGCTTTTGAAACTCTCGAAAGGACCCCCATCTCGTTTCGTTCTCTTTCGTTCTTCTTTTCACGTCTCGTCGAGAGTTGTATCAGAAGAATGGCGGCGTCGACGAACAAGGAGAGTGCGCTGTTGCTGACTTTGGTGGCCTTGCATCTGTCGCTATTTTCTTCCTGTGTGTCTGCCCATCCGCCTTCTTCTTCTTCTTTCCCGCTGAGCCCCACTTTCTACGCTTACTCGTGCCCGAATCTCTTGTCCATCGTGAGAGGTGTTCTCTCTAGAGCCGTGGAGCGAGAGCCAAGGATGGCGGCCTCGCTCCTCCGCCTGCATTTCCACGACTGCTTTGTCATGGTAAGGAACAAACGCTTTTTCGTTTTGTACCTCTTTAAGAGAAGAAGTTGGCACTGCGCGGAAACGTTTCTAATTTTTGTTGTTGATGTTGTTGTCAGGGGTGCGATGGATCTGTTCTTCTCGACGACCAGCCGGGCTTCACCGGCGAGAAGACGTCCAATCCGAACAGAAACTCCGCCAGAGGCTTTGAGGTTGTGGACGACGTGAAAGCCGCGGTGGAAAGCGCCTGCCCCGGAGTCGTGTCTTGCGCCGACGTGCTCGCTATCATCGCTGAGCAAAGCGTGGAACTGGTAAGAACAGTGTCGTGAGATAAAAGAAAGCTTACTTTTCGAGATGCAGACTTACGGGCCTTCCTGGACGGTGCTCCTGGGACGTAGAGACAGCACCACAGCGAGCTTATCCGGCTCTAACAACGATATACCACCTCCCACGTCCACGCTCGCCCAGCTTATCGCCAGCTTCCAGCGGAAAGGACTCTCCGTGCAGGATCTCGTCGCTCTGTCGGGCTCGCATACCATTGGAAACGCTCGTTGCACCAGCTTCAGGGACCGGCTATACAACTTCAGTAACACCGGTCGTCCCGATCCAAGCCTCGACCAAGGATACTTGAGAGAGCTGCAGGCAAGATGCCCACCGTCAGGAGGTGACAACAACATTTTCAACCTGGATTTGCATACCCCGACCGAGTTCGATACGTCCTACTTCACCAATCTCAAGTTTAGCAAGGGCCTCCTCAACTCTGATCAGGTCCTGTTTAGCACTCCCGGAGCCAGCACCAAGAACTTAGTGAGCACCTACGACTTTGCTCAAGATAATTTCTTCAATGACTTTGCAGTTTCCATGGTGAAGATGGGAAACTTGAACCCTCTCACTGGTACCAACGGTGAGATTCGGAAAAACTGCCGAGTCGTAAACAGCTGAAGAATGAGATACTCTTGTAACACTATCACAACAATCGCATCAGTGATTCCTCAAAGAGACAAGTCAAATGAAATAATTTCACATACCAAAAGGCTGTGCTTCGCTTTCTGAATTTCCTTTCCGTTATAGCACTACAGCAGACATGCCTGCACTGTAGCCATCATATTGTCTGAAGCTAAAACAAGAAATATTAAAAGTTACCTCGAAAAAGCATCGGTGTCAAATCATTTTGCTTGTAAAGTTGCGACTGACTCGAGCCGCAGAATGCGAATCACATCATGAACATTTGTCATGCGTACCTGCAAAAAAATGAGACTTTGAAACTTCAATCCACTGAAAGCCTACCAACCTTGACCATGTATGTGTACCTGTTCTCGATCATAGCGTCTTAACAGTGGCATGCTCTTTGTACCAAGTCAAGAGATTCACCGACCAGTAGTAACAAGCTACCAGGAAACTTTGTCGATTAGTTCTCCCACTGGCCTACCCCGTCGGTCTTTCTACGCACCTTTCCAGTATAAAAGGCCACGACTTCTCGATCCGTCCTTGTGCGTTCTCGAGCAAAGAAAAATGAAGTTTGTGTTTGTTCTCTGCATCTGCCTTGTCTCAGCCGCTGCTCAGCTGAGCCCCACCTTCTATGACTCCTCGTGTCCGAAGCTGTTATCAACTGTGAGAAGTGTACTTGAGAGAGCTGTTCAGAGGGAACCACGCATGGCTGCCTCGCTTCTGCGTCTCCATTTCCACGACTGTTTTGTCAATGTAAGTCGATGTGACCGTCTTCCAAGCTGAAACACTGTATGTTCTGCCAGGGATGCGATGGATCTGTCCTCCTCGACGACAAGCCGGGATTTCGAGGCGAAAAAACTTCCAACCCGAACAGGAACTCGGCGAGAGGATTCGAGGTGGTGGACAGCGTGAAAGCAGCGGTTGAGAGAGTCTGTCCTGGAGTTGTATCTTGCGCCGATATTCTAGCGATTATAGCTGAACAAAGCGTTGTCTTGGTAAGAACCCGGTTGCTCGAGCTTGAAAGAAATGAGCTGACGAGATTCTTGTAACAGATGAATGGACCATCTTGGACAATACTGTTGGGACGTCGGGATAGCACGACCGCGAGCTTGGCCGCCTCTAACAACGATATACCGCCTCCAACCTCCACCCTTTCCCAGCTTATTTCCAAGTTCCAGGCCAAGGGACTTTCTGTGCAAGAGCTAGTCGCACTCTCTGGAAGTCACACCATCGGACAAGCTCGTTGCACAAGCTTTAAGGATCGTCTGTATAATTTCAGCAACACCGCCAGGCCGGATTCAAATTTCAACCAAGGATACTTGAAGACCCTGCAAAGAAAATGCCCACGTTCAGGAGGTGACAACAATACTTCTCCACTAGATTTCCAGACCCCCACCGGCTTTGACAATGCGTACTTTAGTAATATTGTTGCCAACGAGGGTCTTCTAAACTCCGATCAAGTGCTGTACGCACCTTCAGGATCGTCAAGCAGAATTGTCTCCAACTACGAAGACAACCCGAGCCTGTTCTTCAGGGACTTCGCGAATGCCATGGTGAAGATGGGAAACCTGAGTCCTCTAACTGGAAAAAGCGGTCAGATTCGCAAGAACTGCCGTGTGGTGAACAGCTAGAAACATGTTAAGTGTGATTTAAGCTTTTGCGAACAATAAAGCTGTGGCTTACTTGTCTATAGCTTTTCGGGATTCAGTAGCTGTATCTTCTATCCGTCTTTCCAATAATAACTCGCTCGTCCTGAAGGACCTTCAGGTCGGGTGCGAGAAGGCGAGTGTACCGATCAAAATACAATAGTTGTTTGAGTAGAAGACCGAACTCGCGTGGGAACCTCAATCCATAAGCCTCACTTAAGCGAAACTGTTTCAAGGATATAGCAGAATGTAGTGGTGTCTTAAGAGTAATCAGAAACATACCACATCAAGAAGCAAAGCGTTTATTTGTCGCTCATCAACAGCCAAAGTAGCAGCAACAGTAGCTCCTTGTGGTCCACCAGCAGTTGTGATGCGAATGTCCGAGTCCAAATCCTATGTCGCTAACGGGTGTCGGTGCATCATTTTAAAATTCTTTTCATTACATACCTTAACAGCACTAAAAATCTTCTCCAAATCTTTAGAAAAACGAAGTAAATCCACCTTCTTGTCTGTAGCACCCATTTGATTAAGTGCAGTTGCCATTGCATAGTAATCCCCGGTTCCAAAGGAAGCCAAAAACGTTTCTACGGCTACCCACGTCTTAGGAGAAACGCGGCCAACAATTCCTGCGGCAGATACAAGACGTAAGCTACAGTGGCTCAAAACATTTATAAGTTACCGAAATCAATAAAACCGATTCGACCATCTCGAAGCACCAAAAGGTTGCCCGCATGCACGTCTGCATGAAATGTCTCGCAGCCAAGTAAACTTCCAAACCTACAGGCAAACTAAGTAGTTAAGTCAAAGACGTAAAGCAAAACTTACCAGACATTTAAGGCAGTGATCAACGTTGCTTCCGGATTTGGAACAATTGAGCTGATGGACTTTAGATCTGTTAAAGGTACCCCATACAAACGCTCCATCGTCAGCACTCGCCGAGTGCTACAATGGCGATACACAACTGGTGCAGTTGCTTGTTTGAAAAGGTTCATGGTTTCTAGATACGTTCGAAACGATTCAACGTTGACAGCTTCCTTTTGGAAGTCCGCCTCTTCCATAATCGATGTTCTCAAATCACCTATAACGGATACCTGAAAGAAGTGACCCTTGTAACAGGGAAAACGAAGACAAAACAGCTTACCAAAGATGTTCGACTTATTTGTGGATTGAGAAATTCCAAAACACGCGCGGCAACGTACAAAAAGTTTAAATCTGCTCTCAGCACATCCACTACTCCAGGCTTTAGTACCTTGATAACAACATCTTTCTTGCTTCCCTTCAGCCGTGCAGCATGTACCTAAGCTCGAGGAAAAAAAATAAACATACGAAACTCAAAAGAAAAACATAAAAAGCATTCACCTGAGCAATAGACGCCGAGGCAAGAGGAGCGCTATCCACATACTCATAAACATCATCTAGAGAACGTCCCAGGTCTTCCTGAATGATAGCTTTGACATCAGCAAAAGGTATAGCCGGAGTGCGATCGAGGCAACTTTGAAACTCGTTCACGTACTCGTCGGGAAACAACGACGGAGACGATGCGATAAACTGTCAGAGAAAAATTAAGTGTCAGCAACACAAATCAAAGAAGAGAAAAAAAGAAAGAAAGAAAGAAAAGAGATACGAACACTACCTGGCCCAATTTTATGTAAGTAGCACCGAGCCTCTCAAAGAGGCGTCTCAAGAGCCGAGGTGGAGAGCTGCTTAGTGTGGATCCACCCTGGTCACAATTTTCGCACGAAACTAAGCACGAAAATCTGGAGCGAGGGAGCAAACGAGTATACTTGAGCTTGCTCCACAAACCACTGTGCTCCAATGGAGACGACGGCTTCCACGGCTTGGGCCAAACGAAGAACGCCTCGAGGCCCGGTATCAACAGTCATGCGAAAGATATCCGCGAGAAGATCGTTGAATTTCCCTGGCATTGGAGGAGCAAAGCTAAAACCAATCGTTCGATGAATCGCGTTGCTTACCCGATTGAGATTCGGCCGGTCTTGGAAAGGGAGAGGACGATGACGCTGTTCTTGCTCGCACGGAGAGCCGGCACTGCCGCGACTTCGCGAAATTCGGCATTCTCAGCACCTGGCAATGGATTTTCGGTGAAATCGGGTGAAATCGAAACGCGATTCGAGCTTACCTGGAGCTGGCGCGCGCCTGGAAATGCCGCATTGAGCGCGTATGGCGCTCTCGTGGACGCGCTAGTGAGCGCCATAGCAAGAACCCTAAACTATTAGGAAAGAAAGGACCATGGCATTATTTCAAAACGATCTTACATGGCATTTGTCTGTTTGGCCGACATTGGGAGAGAAATAATTAATGGGAATCTCTCGCCTGTGTGGATCGAGGCGCTGGGACGAATGCCCTAGGTCTTCAGCTGGAGAGAATCCGCGATGCCGCGAGGTTTTCTAGGGTTTTGGCGGGGAGGAACGAGGCAGAGGATTTGCTAGCGGCGGCACGCCATGGGGGAAGCGGCGGAGGCGCAGCGCAAGCTCTTGGAGGCGCTTGGCGACCGCTGCCTGTCGCAGAGCCTGCGGGATCCTGGAGTCCAGCAAGGGTTGGATCAGCTTGCCACGGCTTTGGAGGCGGTTAACCGAAACGGCGATGGAGATTCCGGCATTGCGCAGTGGAGCAGCCAGCAGCTGGAGCAGCTCCTGGGAATTCTCAGCGCTGTCGTTGCCTCGTCCTGGGATCTAGCATCAGGTGAGCTTAGCTAGCTCTGTGAGCTTGATTAGGGTTCTTATTTCCAGCTCTGTGACAGAGGAAGGACAGTATTCTTCTCTACAGCGGATTTTTTTCCTCACTGCGGAGCTCTGCATTCAAAGTCTCGAAACTCCTTCGTTTCGATCGGATGAGGCGGTAACTTTGCAATCTCTTTTGCTCACGTTGCTTCAATCGCGTTTCCAGATGCAGCAAAAGCTCTTGCAGCTCTTGGAGGCTGTGACTTTGGATGGAAAAGCTGAGAGGCTACCGCATTTTTCTTCGGCTGGAGTTCCACCGGATCTTATGATCAGTTTGCTGGTGTCTGTAAATAAGGACGATAGCCATCACGGTGATCGGGGTAAGCATTTCTCTGTGTGCCTTCGATGCGTAAACTTTTTGCTCTTTGTAGATGTACATATCAACCAAGACGAAGGCACCGGGTGGTCTCAAAACATCTTGGCCGTTTTATCTAATGACCAGCTTGTCCGTGACAGTTTGAGGAGTGGAAGTGAGATAGACAAGGAGCTACTAAGCAGGCGGGGGCAGAACTTAGTAGATGTCACGCAGCAGCATTCGATCGTCAGCTTGGGTTGTTTCCAGCGTCTTTCGGCACTGTGCACAGGTCTGGTTGTAGATTTAGACGGGGACGGGCTATCTTTTGCTACGGAGGTTTTGAGCTTTCTGGGGAACTTGGCAAGGCTCTCACGACACCGGGCTTCTGTTCAAGGGACTGTTACAGAGGTGGTTAGATTAGCATCCGCTCTGCGGGACATACTAAAGAGCAGCACCAGGGATAAACGGGTTTTTGAAGTCGACGACGTTCAGGAAGGGGCTACGTCCTTGCCTTTGCTGATGGACGCGTTACTGGTTTTCTGCGAGAGTTTTTTCCCGGATCTTGTTATATCTCAGAACGTGAGGACCTTTCTGGCAGCGTCCATTCTCGAGGAAATGAACGGAGTGAAACTACGACAGGACACAGATTGTACGCCGCAGCTCGTGAGCTACGTCTTGCGGCTGTTGCAAGCTGACCAGTTTCATGTTTCGGAAGGGCGGTATGGGAGAAAAGTGCCAGCGGAGGAGCTGGTAGGCTCGATAGAGTTTAGATCACAGGACTTCAAACTGAATCAAGCAAGAAGCAGGTCGGAACATCTGGAGACCATCTTTCCATCGAGTGGCGAGTGGCTTAACGACCTCTTTGCAGCAGCAGCTATTCTTCAAATCCAAGGTGTGAAGTTGAAGCCCGTCCTGGAGATGCCTTCGTCGATCCACAGTGAGGAGGACTCGGCAACCGTTTCCATGGATTCCTTGACTGTGGCAAGTGAAGACGATGCTCTGTTTGGGGATTTGTTTTCAGAGTCAGGAAGGCATTCGGTGAACTCGGAAGAGACAGTGCAGACTGCTCCAGCTCCCAGGAAAGCTGACGGAATGCATAACGCTCTTCTCCAGGCGTCATCTCACCTTTTGTGCTTCATAAGGGACTTTATACTCTCCTCGGAATGGCACAAGCCTACGTTCGAGGTGGTTCGGGCTCATCTATCAACTTGTCATCTTGATGAGTTATTGGAGATACATCGATCTCACACTGGAAAGCAGGCTCGGGTAGACGACCAGGAACTAGAAGGCAGTCTAGACTTGCTGGCAGAGCTTCAGAAATGCTCCTTTGACGTGCTGATTACTCTGGTTGATAGAGGAGTTCTGTCGGAGGGATTGCAAACGCATCTTTTCCATCAGATGGCTAAAGAAGGAGACTCGCCCGGGGGTTTGTCTGGAAACGTGCTGGTACTGATGGCAAAGGTACTCATAAACCGGTTCTGTCAAGGTGTTACGTCGTCAAATGATCCTCTGGTACATGATCTTTGGAGATCGTTCGTGGATTCGATTGTCGACAACGTGAAGAACATCAAGGCTTTTGAAGGGGACTTGGACAAGGCCACGGCAGTACTTCCCTCCTGGTTTCACATGGAAGTGTTGTTTATGGCGTTCCACTCTTTGGATTCTCCAAATCGGCTGGCTATAGTGAACCTTTTATCATCAGCACTGGCAACGTGCGACAACGAAAAGAAAGCTGCCGGTGCTTCCTTGGCTCCTTGGGCTCTTCTGACTTCGAGACTGGTTCTGGCTGCGAAGTATCTTATCTTCCACTTCAGCAGCTTTCCGAAGTGGCTGGTTTCGGACCTGTCGAAGCAGATGTGGTTTCAAAAGTCATCCAAGCTTCCCATCCAGGAGGGTCTTTTCCCATCTTGGGCTGCCATTTTTGCTCGGAGGCCGGTCCATCATATGATCGACGAGCGCTGCATTTCACATCTGTTTGACGTGAGCTGTCCAGCTGGGGGGAATCTGGTGATTAGCAGTGACGTTGAAGGCCTACACTCGCATCTTTCTAGTCTGCTTGAAGCTTGGACGGGGAGGTTTATCACAAACGTGGACGAGCTGTTACTGGAGAGATACTTGTTCATGCTATGCTGGAGCATTCTGCAAGGCTCCAGTTTTGCGACGGTCCATCCTTGGAATTCTGATACATCTACTGGCTTGGAGTTTTTCTTCAAGGTGGCTAAGAGCGTCTCTGCCGGTTTCCAGCAGCAGTCATCGGATGGTGTGGGGCAGTGGGCGGAGTTTTTTCTACAGTCCTTTAAATCCTTGGAAGTGTCTATGCATGGAGGCTCTATCAAGTTGACGTCATGGGATTTATTGAGGCAAGGGGCGACACTGGCCTTGCTTTATCTTCCGCTTCAACGTAGTCCCCCAGATATGCTTTTTCACCATGTTCTGCGTTATATTGTGGAAAACGGGCAACTAGAGCAACTCCTCCAAAGTTTGTCATCCATCGTGGGCTGGTACGTGAAAGCTGCCGACTACTGCCTTTCACAAATTTTACTGGAGCAGTTTGGCTCTGAAGACATTGTATCTTTCATCGGTCTAGTTTTGCGGACGAACTTTCCCAAGGACAGGCGGTATGATATGTTGGACAAGGCTGGTGGTAGCTCGAGTGTCTTGAGGTCACTTCTACGGTGGGAATCGTCTAGAACGTGGACAGACGAGCTCTCGAGCGTTGTGAAGAAAGCAGGGGCCTGGGAAAAGGATGGGGCACTTTCTCCCGTTGTTCTGCATGGCTTTCCTCTTTGTTCGTATCAAGGGGATGCAGCTCTAGTTTCTTGCATGCTCACTTTGGAGGGGTTACTGCAAACTATCGAGAACGTTTTGGACACCGACGGTGTAAAGTTGAGCAGCTCCCAGGTTGACGGGCTCCTAAAGACGATCATGCCGGTAAAAGTGAACTGCGCGTTCGATAGACTTGAGATTTTCTGCACCAACATCTTATTTGCGGTGAACTTACCGGAAGACCACGTTCAGCTATATGCTGATGTCTACACGTTGAAGCATGTAGAGTGGATTCTCAAGATCTTGTGTACGAGCAAGCACGTACCGGAGCCTCTGCGTGAAGGAATAGTCTGCCAAGTTCTGGAAGTGACAAACACAATAAGAACTGATGCCCGGAGAAGCAGAGCCTTCAGCGTTCAGTTTGGTGCTTCGGACAGCCAGGAGGGGGTGAGGACTTTTGTGGAGCAAGGAAACCTGTCTTCGTACGTGGACGTTCTGGATGGCTGCTCCAACGAGACCGTGAACATGCAGATGCTCCGGTTTCTTGTGGATTTGCTAGAGAAGCCGAGCAGTTTCCAGCTTAGGTGTAGAAGCAACTTACAGGAGAAACTGCTGGCCATGGAAAGGGATAGACTTGGAACCTGGTTAGAACAACGGATTTCAGGGTGTAAAATCGGGGACAAGGAAGCCGTTCCGTCTTCACCCGTGAGAGAGCTGGCTGTTCGTTTCGTTCAGAACATCATCGCTTCCGAAGCGAAGGAGCTTAAAGCTCATATCCTTGAGGCGATGCTCACGACCTTGGAGCGAGCATTTACTTTCTATGGAGCTGAGATGGCGAGATCTTACCTCATGGCGATCGTGCAGTTGGCAAGTGGAGAACCGTTGCTTAAAGATGTGTCAAGGGCTGTGGTTGACGTGCTATCAAAAGTTCCTGCTGATGGCGATCATCTCGAGGGCCTGCAGTGGCTACTGGCGTTCTTGAATTCCGTGCTGATGGCATGCGGTGCACGGAAAGTATTATTCTCGAGGAGTAAGCACCCTTCTTCTCAAGGCACATCCTCTGGAAAGGCTAAAGTTCCTCGCGGCTCTTCCGATCAATCTCTTCAGGTGACAGAGGGGGGAAATGCCGACTGTGATGCTACCTCTGCCGACGAAGACGATGACGAGGGGACATCTGATGGTGAGCTAACAAGCCTGGATCGAGAGCACGACGAGGACGGCATCAACACTGAGAGGCTTCTCGCTTCTAGAGTTTGCACCTTCACATCAAGTGGGAGCAATTTTATGGAGCAGCACTGGTACTTCTGCTACACTTGCGACTTGACAGTGTCCAAGGGATGCTGCTCAGTATGTGCAAAGGTGTGTCATCGTGGTCACAAGGTGGTTTACTCGCGGTTGAGCAGGTTCTTTTGTGACTGTGGTGCTGGAGGTGTTAAAGTGACCAACTGCCAGTGCCTGAAGCCACGGAAGTATACAGTATCTCCAATGCCGTCTGCAAAGCTTGTCAGTAGTACGCCGGAGCAGCAACTTTTTCCGATTCACGAGAGGTTGCAACTTTCTGACAGCGACTCAGAGACAGAGTCGGATGACAACAGAGAGAACCAGGAATTCTTTCAGCTCTCCGTCTCCGAGCGCGACGAGAAGGACATTCTTCTTTTGCTTTCAAACCTTGATTTGGAAGGCCAGCTTCTCGAGCTTTGTAGAAGGCTTTTGAGCTCCTTCAGCCATGGTTTCCAGGCCGCTGGAAATGACGAGATACAGCTCGGTCAAGAGAAAGTACTACAACTGAAGAATGATATTTTCCAGCTGAAGCGAGCCTACAAAAGCGGTTCTCTTGACATGAAAATCAAGGTGGACTATCCGAACTCTCGAGAATTAAGATCTCACTTACTGAACGGATCCCTTTCGAAGTCGCTTCTTACGATAAGTAGCAGAGGAAGGCTTGCAGCTGGAGAGGGTGACAAAGTGACGCTGTTCGACGTTGGACAGCTTATCGGTCAGCCTACTGCTACTCCGGTGATAGTGGACAAGACGACCGTGAAGCCGCTATCTAAAAACTCTGTGCGCTTCGAAGTGGTGCAGCTCGTATTCAACCCGGCTAACGAGAGCTACCTCGCAGTTGCTGGCTACGAGGATTGCCTCGTCTTTACGGTGAGTCCAAGGGGAGAAGTGACGGACAGGCTTGCTCTCGAACTCGCTCTACAAGATGCTTATATCCGTCGGGTGACTTGGCTGGTCGGATCACAGGTGGAGTTAATGGTGGTCACCAACAAGTTTGTGAAGATTTACGACCTGTCGCAGGACAAGATCAGTCCGATGCATTATTTCACTGTGCTCGAGGACGAGATTGTTGATGCCACACTTGGTGCTGTTAGTCACGGGCAGATTTTGGTTCTGGTTCTGTCACAGCAAGGCGCGCTTTACACCCAACGTATCTCCAAAGGAAGTGACTCTGGAGCTCGTATATTGACGGACGTGGTTCAGATTCCAAAACAGGGCCGACCGGTAAAAGGTGTCTCCGTCCACTATTCCTCGTCTCTGAAGCTCCTGTTCGCCTCCTTCAGCGATGGCTCCACTCTGCTTGGACGCCTGAATGCTGATGCAACTGCTTTGTCCGAAGTTTCCAGTGTTATCGAGACCGATCAGGATAACAAGAGCAAGACCGCTTGTCTTCATCACTGGAAGGAAGTCTTTGACGGCAGCGGCTTGTTTTCCTGCCTGTCCAGCCAGAAGAGTAACTCGGCTTCAGTTGTTCATGTTCGAACGAATAGCCTGGAGGGACAGCATTTGCGAGTGGCAGGATCTTTGAGAGTGGACGGTATTTCTTCGTATAGGTCCATGGCAAAGGAGCGAAGTCACGTTCTGCTTCTGTACGACGACGGTAGCATGCATGTGTTTCAACATGTTTCTTCCAGTGCTGAGACAACAATGAAAAAGCTGGGTGCTGCCATCCTCAGTACCCGGTCCGTGAGTCCTGCGGTATTTCCTTTGGACTTTTTTGAGAAGACAACTTGCATCACTTCGGACATCAAAATCGGTGGTGATGTCCTCCGGAACGATGATGCCGAGAGTGTGAAGAGGAACTTGGCTTCGGATGATGGTTTTCTGGAGAGTCCTTCAGCGAGTGGTTTTAAGGTACCGGATTGTTTTTCCCTGCTCTTATTACTAAAATTGTGTTTTGTTTTGTTTTTTAGATACTCGTGTTCAACTCAAACGTTGAAATGGTGATGGTTGGCTGCCGTATCCATGTCGGCAACACATCTGCTAGCCATATTCCGTCGGAAGTGAAACTTTTTCAGAGGGTGATACGGCTAGAAGAAGGTGTTCGGTCTTGGTACGACATACCGTTTACAAGCTCGGAGTCTTTGACAGCAGACGAGGAGTTTGCTTTGACAGTTGGGCCAACATTCAATTCTACGTCATTGCCTAGAATTGACAGCTTGGAAGTTTATGCGAGGTCCAAAGAAGATTTCGGATGGAAGGAAAAGCTAGATGCTGTTCTAGACTTGGAAAATCAAGGCCAGGGCGCAGCTTCTCAGAGCAATGCTTTGAAGACAAGGAAACTACAGACCGCTTCAACACTTGATAAGGTTTTCTACGAGGTTTTCAAAGCCCTGTCAGGTCTCTATTCTCTCCATCGGCTGAACCCGGACTCCGAACTGAACCTGGAAAACTGCAAAGGGAAGTGCATGCCTGTTCTGGAAGTTGTATTTGCAAGTGACAGACAGTCTCTGTTACTCTCGGCTGGCAGACATGTATTGCGAGCTTTATCTTTGAGCAAGGATGCGTACTATCAGGTAAGCTTAGAATCTGTTTAATTTTTTTCTTTAACACATGCTCCACTTTGACAGGCGAAAGATATGATGTCTTTGTCCGGTGTCGCCCGTTCGTGTCCTCTTCTTGCTTCTAAGCTTTCCTTGGGTGGCATTCGTTTGTCATGGATGGTGCAAGAATTTACAAACCAGGTTCGGACGGTCTGTAAAATCTCACTTCATCGCCCGTCGAATTTGGCTTTGTATTTGGAACGAAATGGTAAGTGTTCCAACTTTTGGTTGTCGCCGTATTATTGACGCTATCTTTTGTGCTGAAAGGCTCTTCACTCGTTGAAAACCTTGTCGGTGTTTTGTGGGAGATTCTTGTCCTCTCCGACCAATTGGATGCACAAACAATCAATGACTTGGTGGTGCTTATCGTGGACCTTATCTATGGCTATGCTGAATGTCTCTCGGCGCATCTATCTGTTTCGTCTGTCTCTCCAGCGGTCAACCTTCTTGAGAAGCTACTTTTCGCTCCCCAGGACGCTGTTCGCTCCTCGAGCAGGTATTGTACTGTAGTCTGCATCTCCTACCAGTAGTCTAATAATCATGTTTTTTACTCTTTGTTTTAGCCTGGCAGTCTCCTCCAGGCTTTTGCAAGTGCCCCTGCCAAAGCAAACCATGCTACTGATGGATGATGGTGCGGAGAACTCTCGTGCGGGGTCGTTGCACTCGGACAGCGGAACCTCAACAGTTGCTTCCGGTCAAGTGATGCTAGAAGAAGATCCCGGCACTGCCTCAGTACAGTACTGCTGTGACGGTTGCTCTACGGTTCCAATACAGAGACGGCGCTGGCACTGTACTGTCTGCCCGGATTTCGACCTCTGTGAAGCTTGCTTTGAGGTTATGGATGGTGATCAGCTTCCTCCTCCTCATACACGCGATCATCCGATGACTGCCATTGCCATTGAAGCTGACACAACTGGGAATAGTCACGAGATACCGTTTAACTCCATCGATGATTTGAGTGAAGAAAGTCTGCTCCAGATGGCTACGGAGCTAAGCCTGCAATCGACGGCTGCTTCCCTCGGTTCTACCATGGAGGCGACTGAAAGCTGCGAATTTCCCGAAAATGTGCCGGAGGTGAAAGCTGGCTCTTTCTCTGCATCGAAAACGCTGGTGAACTCCTTGCTCCTGAGCGGACTGCTTGAAAACCTCCGAGGATGGACAAAGAGCACAACGGGAACGATGGCCATTCCCATTATGCAGCTCTTTTACAGGTTGACGACTGCACCATCGAGCCCGCTATTCGACGCATCTGGAGCTGTATATTTCGACAAAGTTGTCAAGGTGATGCTGGACGAGCTGGACGTGGCAAATCCGTTTTCAGTCAAGCAGCGGTCTGGTTTCGGAGAAGTCGTGATACTTATTTTCATGTTATTCACTCTACTTCTTCGGCACTGGCATCAACCTGGCTCTATACATGGCCAACCGAGGGAGGGAGATGGAACAACAGATGCAGAGCTTCAGTACGATCGCGTCTGTGCTTCCCTTCGGCAGCAGTCCCTCGTCAACTTTCTCCTGAACATCACTCAGCAACTGGTTCACGTCTTCAAGAGCTCGTCTCGAGGACAGGACTCAAGCGCTTCGTCTACAAATGCTCCCTGTGGTGCTTTGCTCACGGTTAGGCGGGAGTTTGCGGCCGGGAGTTTTACGCCGTTCTTCTCAGATTCGTACGCAAAGAGCCACAAAGGGGACCTGTTTGTGGAATTCTACAAGCTCATGCTGGAGAGTGTTTTCCGGCTGACGTACAGCCTCGTACGGCCAGGCAAGTCGGAAAAGCTTAGTGACAAAGAGCAGTCGTCATCCAAAGGATGTCCTGGTTCCGAGCTGAAGCTAGACGGCTGGCAAGAAGTTCTTTGCAGCTACATCAACAGTCCCCATACGACTTTCATCAGAAAATATGCTCGTCGGCTGCTCTTGCACATGTGTGGATCCAAGAGTCACTACTACAACGTCAGAGATGCCTGGCAGCTCAACAGGGAGGTGAAGAAGCTCTACAAGCTGGTGCAGAAGTCCGGGGGTTTTCATGTGACCGTTCCTTACGAGAGGAGTGTCAAGGTACTCAAATGTCTCTCACTGATTCGGGAGGTAGCTGCTGCAAGGCCTCGCAACTGGCAAAAGTACTGCTCGAGGCATTCCGACGTGATACCATTCCTGCTGAACGGATCGTTTTGCTTTGGAGAGGAGCTGGTTGTTCAAACGTTAAAACTGTTGGCGCTAGCTTTCTACTCGGGGAAGGACCTGCTATCTTCGAAAAAGGACGCTACTGAGACGGCAGCCAAGGGAGGGAGTGAAGGGAAGAAGGACAAGAAAGGTGGCAGTGACGATGCGAGTTTGGGAGCTGACAAAGGCTATCTGGACATGAAGCAGGCTGTGGAGCAGCTCGTCGGGGAAGATGGCAGGAATTTGAAAAACTTCCTGGATGCTTTCTTGCTCGAGTGGAATGCAGCATCCATTCGCTCGGAGGCCAAGACGGTTTTGTCTGGTGCATGGTATCATGGAGAAGAGGCATTCAGGGTGCTCTTGGTGACGCTGCTCTTGGAAAGGATTCCTATGCTGCCAGCATATGGTCAGAACGTCCAGGAGTTCACTGAGCTGCTGTCTTGGCTTCTGAAGAAGGGAACTCAGGAGATAGCACTGAGCAACCCAGAAAGCGTGCTGGTTCAAGGGTGTCTGACGGGAAACACCATCATGAAGATTTTCGAGACCTTACGCTTGCAAAACGAGCTCCTTGCGAATCACCCGAACTCTCGGATTTACAGCACTTTGGTTAGCCTTGTGGAGTTCGACGGCTACTATCTGGAGAGCGAGCCTTGCCTGGCCTGCAACAGTCCGGAAATTCCATACAACCGGATGAAGCTGGAGACAATCAAGGCAGAGACCAAGTACACTGACAACAGCATTCTGGTGAAGTGCATTGGCAGCCACACCATTCAGAGCGTCACCATGAACGTCCACGAGCCGAGACGATCCAAGTCTATCAAAGTCCTAAATCTCTACTACAACAACAGGGTGGTAGCAGATCTTTCGGAGCTAAAGAACAACCGGTCTCTGTGGAAGCGAGCGAGAAGCTGCCAGCTGAACTTTGGCCAGACGGAGCTGAAGGTGGAGTTTCCTATACCGATCACAGCTTGCAACTTCATGATCGAGCTCGACTGTTTCTATGAGAACCTGCAAGCAGCATCGGTCGAATCTCTTCAGTGTCCGCGATGTAGCAGGGTCGTCACCGACAAGCATGGAATTTGCAGTAACTGCCATGAGAACGCGTACCAATGCCGTCAATGCCGAAACATCAACTACGAGAACTTGGATTCTTTCCTCTGCAACGAATGTGGCTACAGCAAGTATGGCCGCTTCGAGTTCAACTTTATGGCAAAGCCGAGCTACACGTTCGACCGCATGGAGAATGACGAGGACATGAAGAAAGGGCTGGCAGCAATCGAGGCAGAGTCTGAGAATGCTCACAAGAGATACCAACAGCTTCTGGGATACAAGAAGCCTTTGCTGAAGCTTGTTTCGAGTATAGGAGAGTCAGACGCGGATTCACAACAGAAGGACACTGTTCAGCAAATGGTGGCGCTTCCGTCTTCGTTTAAGATCAACAGAAAGATCGCGATTCTGGGAGTTTTATACGGCGAGAAGTGCAAGATGGCTTTCGATTCCGTCAGTAAAAGCGTTCAGACGTTACAGGGTCTTCGAAGGGTGCTGATGTCTTACCTGGAAAGGAAGAGAAGTCCAGGATCTTTTCATCTGGCGAACATCATCATGGCACAGCGGCATCCAAACCGTTGCTTTGGCTGTGCGAACACTTTCGTCGGCCACTGCTTGGAGTGGCTACAGATACTTGCGAGGATTCCATACTGCAGACAACAGCTTGTCGCTGCTGGCATCCTTTCGGAGCTGTTCGAGAACAATATTCATCAGGGGCCAAAGTCTGCTCGGATTCAAGCGCGGACGGTTTTGTCGGCATTCACAGAAGGCGACTTAAATGCCGTCGGCGAGCTCAATAGCCTGATCAAGCAGAAGGTGATATACTGTCTGGAGCATCACCGGTCGATGGATATTGCCGCGTGCGTCCGTGATGAGATGCAACTCCTTTCAGAAACATGCTCTCTCGGTGATGACTTTTGGGAGGCACGGCTGCGAGTCGCATTTCAGCTGCTGTTCCGGTCGATCCAGGTTGGAGCGCGGCATCCAGTTATTGCCGAGCACATCATTCTTCCAGCTTTGAGAATTATTTCTCAGGCATGCACTCCTCCAAAGACTGACATTCCTCAGGCTACTGAACCTGGAGGGTTCTCGGTGAAATCTGTTGGTTCTTTCGTGAAGACGGCTGCAATACTTCAGGAGACACCGGTTACCAGGCCTGCCAAGGAAAACGTAGAGAAAGACAAAGAGCTGGAGAACACGCCGAAGGCCCAGGATTTACTACTAGTAAACTACCTGGAGTGGAAGAATGGTGCGACGTATGTTGATTTTGTGAGACGACTGACCATATCTCAGAACGTCAAGCCCGCTCAAAAATCTCGAAAAGACTCGAGAAAATCTGGTACGTTAAACTCTTTCTTACCTCTGACGATGGAATTTGTTTTTTTGTTTTTTGTTTTTTCAGATGCCTTGGCTCTTAAATATATCCTACGATGGAAGCGAAAAGCTTGCAAAGTTTCTCTTACCGAGGACCTCAAGTGCTTTGAAGATAGTAGCTGGGTTCGTGAGCTTGTTCTAAGTGCATGCTCCCAGCCAATTCGTCAAGAGATGTGCGCTTTGATCGAGGTGCTGTGCTCTCAGAGCGTAGCTCGGAAATCCAAGTTCCTGGACCTGTTTATGAACCTGCTGCCTGCTTCGAGAACTGCCGGAGAGAGTGCAGCGGAATACTTTGATCTGCTGTTCAAAATGATCGAGGATGAAGATGCGCGCTTATATCTTACAGTTCGTGGCTTTCTGCGGACCGCTTGCAGTCTTATCAGTGAAGAGGTAGTCCGGGTAGAAGCCCAGGAGCGAAGCTTCCATACGGACATCTCACAGGGCTATACTCTACACAAACTTATCGAGCTACTGAACAAATTCCTGCAAGTTCCGAACGTTAGGATAAGGTAAGAGTTTGCGAATTGCTGTTACGGTGATATGAAATTTTTTTTTGCAGGTTTATGAAGGAAGACTTGCTGTCACAAATTTTGGAAGCTCTTTTGGTGATCAGAGGTCTGGTTGTTCAAAAGACGAAGCTGATAAGTGACTGTGGACGGTTACTACGCGAGCTTCTTGACAACCTGCTTCAGGAAAGCGACGACAACAAGAGACATTTCGTTCGTGCATGTATTTCCGGTCTTCAGACTCCTGATCACGACAGAAAAGATCGCAGATGCCTGGTAAGCGTTGTTTCCTTTTCTCCTTTTACTCAATGTTTTTCTTGTAGTTTATTCTTGAACAACTCTGCAATATCATCTGTCCGGCCAAACCGGAGCCTGCATATATGCTTGTTCTCAACAAAGCTCACACGCAAGAGGAGTTTATCCGTGGCTCGATGACGAAGAATCCCTACTCGAGCTTAGAAGTTGGTCCACTTATGCGTGACGTGAAGAACAAAATCTGTCAACAGCTGGATATGATTGCACTTTTGGAGGATGACTACGGCATGGAGCTTCTTGTTGCAGGAAGCATCATCTCTTTAGATCTTAGTGTTGCGCAGGTATATGAGCAGGTTTGGCGGAAGGCGCATTCGCAGGTGGCGAATTCGGCAATAGGAACGAGCCTGTTAATGTCTGCTTCTGGAGTCTCCGGAAGAGAGTGTCCACCAATGACCGTGACATATCGACTCCAGGTATGCCGCGTGATCTTTCATGATTCTGTCTTTAAAAGTGCTGTGTGTGCAGGGACTGGACGGTGAGGCAACAGAACCAATGATCAAGGAGCTAGATGATGATAGAGAGGAAAGTCAGGATCCAGAAATCGAGTTTGCAATTACTGGAGTCATGAAAGATAGCGGTGGGCTGAAGGAGCTACTGAGTATGGTTGAGGTGCGTGCTCTTTTAGTCTTTTCTGATTCTAAAAGTTGGTTTTGTATCTCTCAGCATTTTACGGACGAAGAACTGAAGTCTGGTCAGGAACAAGTTGCGTTGGTTTTGAAGCTACTCATGTTTTGCTGCAAGATTCGGGGTAACCGGCAGGCTCTTCTTCAGCTTGGTGCCTTGGATGTTCTCCTGGAGACGGCCAACAAATCCTTCTCTTCAGCCGAATCTGTGGAGCGACTGCTACTCATCGTGGAGTGTCTGGTCACCGAGGCCAACGAAAGTGACGTTGGAGTGACCGAAGGCGCTCTGAGCACAACAAGAGCCGGCATTGCCAGAGGGGAACAAGCTGCCAAGGGTGTTCTAATGTTCCTGGAGCGGCTCTCCAATCCCAGCAGCTACAAGCAGTCTAAGCAGCACAAGAACAGTGACACAGCCGCAAGAATACTACCGTATCTAACTTATGGAGAGGAAGCGGCAATGGAAGTATTGGTGGATCACTTCCTGCCTTACTTACTGGACTGGGGAGCTTTTGATAAGCTGCAAAAGGAGCACGGTGAGAATCCGAAGGACGCTTCACTGGGTCAGAAAGCAGCCTTTCATCAGTTCGCTGTTGAGAATTTTGTGAAGGTAACGGAGTCGATCAAGCAAAACGACAGTGGCGAGCTACTTAAAAATCTCATACTTGAGAAGAAGATACTGACTGGTAAGAACTTTTTGAGTTTTTATTCATATCAACTTTGCCCTTGTGTTTACCTTCTGCAGTTGCCATACGGTATCTGAAAGACGCATTTCCTTTTACTGAAAAGAAAACAGATCTTCGGTCGTCACCCGAGTGGACACGATCTTTGGAGCTTCCATCGGTTCCGATTATCCTGTCCATGATGAGAGGATTATCTATCGGTCACTGCAAGACTCAAGAATGTCTTGACGAGGAAGAAGTTCTTCCTTTGCTCCACGCACTGGAGGGCATGCCAGGAGAAAACGAGATTGGAGCAAGAGCAGAAAATTTGCTGGACACGCTATCCGATAAAGAGACTTGCGGTGAAGGATTCCTTGCCGAGACGATCCTGAATTTAAGGGAGACAACACGGGACGAGATGAGACGACGTGCTTTGCAACGAAGGGAAGAGTTACTACAGGTAATACTCATCCTTCAAGTTGCGTTCCGTCGTTCTTAGACTTAGCTCACTTTTTTCCAGGGGCTGGGAATGCGCCGAGAGCTGAGGTCTGATGGAGGTGAGCGCATTGTCATATCAAAGCCTCGAATCGAAGGCCTTGAAGACGTAGAAGAGGAAGAAGCGGGACTGGCATGCATGGTTTGTCGGGAAGGCTACAAACTGCGGCCAACAGATATGCTGGGAGCTTACTCGTACAGCAAGCGTGTAAACATCGGTTCTGCGACTGTCCACGGTCGTCCAGAGTGGGTCTACACGACGGTCAGTCATTTCAACGTCATTCACGTCCAGTGCCACCAAGAGGCAAAGCGAGCCGACGCCTCCCTCAAGAATCCCAAAAAGGAGTGGGAAGGCGCAGCTATACGCAACAACGAGACCCTGTGCAACGATCTCTTTCCTCTGCGTGGCCCAGCAGTCGCGCTTGCGCAGTACTCCCGGTGCGTTGATACTTTCTGGGACAACTTAAACGCCCTCGGACGTGCGGATGGTAGCCGGCTGCGCTTGCTCACTTACGATATCGTCCTGGTACGTTTCTTTCTTTTCCTTCTCATTTTACAACTTAACGCGAGCTTTCCTTCTGTAACAGATGCTGGGCCGCTTTGCAACGGGGGCCTCGTTCAGCGTCGATAGTAAAGGTGGTGGCAAGGAAAGCAACTCGAGGCTCTTACCTTTCATGGTACAAATGGCCCGACATCTCTTGGACCAGCAGGGGCCGAGCCAACGCCGTGTTCTCGCAAAATCCTTACAGACGTTCCTCCAGGCATCGCCTCCCGAGACTGACGCCACCACTACTCCTCTTTCGAGAACCATCTCCAGCCCCGGCACGCCGGCCAGATCGGACGAGACAGTGCAGTATATGATGGTCCAGTCGCTGCTGCTACAATCCCACGACGAGTGGCAACAGCACAGGAAAACGTTTCTCCAACGAGGTGCTGTCCATGCCTACATGCTACACAAACAGGGAAGAGTGCTGCTCCAGCCGGCTTCTCCTCTTCCTGCCTCGACATCGCCATCTCCAGCGGCCAGGAACCCGATAGAGTTTGCTCTGAGCTTCAGCCCGGCAGCGGATATCAAGAGAACAGCGAGCTCGGGAGGACTCCAAGCTACATCAACTCCATCGCTCAGCAGCGAGCAGCTGTTTAGCATCCTCCAGCCGATGCTGGTGTTTATCGGGATCATCGATCAGCTCCAGAGATTTTTCAAGAGCCGGAGTGGTAGCGTCGTCGCCAACAGGAGTAGCAGCGGGAGTAGCAGTAGCAGCAGCGCCGGTGGAACTACCGACGATGGAACTGAGGCGTGGGAGGCCACGATGAAGGAGAAGCTCCGGGACGTGAGCGCCATGCTCGCCTTCTCCAAGGATTTGCTCGAGTGGCTGGAGGATATGCAGAGCTCGGCGGATCTGCAAGAGGCTCTGGACGTGATGGGGGCTCTGGGAGATGCTTTCTCGGCTGGTTTCTCGTCCTGCGACGAGTTTTTCAGGGACGCTCTCGGCTTGGCATCGCTTTGAAAATGATCTTCCTATATTCCCAGGGACCATGAAGAAAAAAGAAAAATCTCCATCGGTACGTAGCTCAGAAAGTTTCCGGTAGCATTATATGATGCATTTCTTTTTTGTAGTGTATCTGAGAGGGGATTGTATATAAAAGAGCTATACGCTGTTCAGTTAAATAAGGAAGTACGTAATTAACTTGTCTATTCCTTGCCAAATATTTTGGGACACCATTGCATGCTTTGAAACTTAGTTAGTTTCTTTAGTTGGTTCCACTCTAATTTTTTTTGTTGCTGAGATTTTCTTGTGGTGATATGCTTCTGTGTACGAATTATGTCCATTATGAAGTCTTATTGGCCTGGGCATGTATCAAAACCTTGTTTCCAGTTTCATGTTCTTTGAATGAAGAATCGTGCAGCGCGTTTGCAAGTTCAGCAACTGTAGCCTCAGCTACAGCTTCAACATGCAGGTTGGCTTCTCTTATATACCGAATGCTTTTACTCGCAAGGTTTTTGTAATAGATGCTGGTAAGCAGCAGTGGATGTATGTTGCAGGGGCAAAGAAAATAAGAAACGGAGCAGGGAGAATTGTCCTGGATCGAGCAGATTTCTCGGCCTTTCAAGCTCTTGGAGCAACGGTTCCGCATTCACTGTCACAGTCTTTATATCCCAGTGTTGAGAGGCCTCAGGCCGAGACAGACGAGATGGCCATATCTCCAAAGCAAGACGAGGGCAAGGCCGACGTTCATAGCACTGACAGTAATTATGCAAGAAAATGGTAACCATGGCTCCAATGCGTTGGAGGCTTGTGGAAAAGAAGGCCAAGGACTCGATCTTGCTGCTGTCACATCTTAGATCTGGAAACAAGGTTACGAGAGTAAAGTAATATCCCGAGAATACTATTTGTAAGAAAAAAAGAAACTGTTTCTTCTCCAAACGCTGCTGACGGTGTGAAATCTCTGTTTTCGTTTTTTAATGTCCTGCTTGTGATGCAAAATAGTGTAGCATTTGCGCAGATCTTCAAGAGCTTATCTGGAGATCCGGCCGTTCCACAAGCCAAGGTGGAACTTTCGTACCTTTTGGGCACCATAAGAATTTGAGCCTTGGAAATAAGCCAAGGCCGTGATTGTCTGGACTCAATTGGGGCCACACTACAGCATCATGATCAGGGAACACAAGTTCCTCCAATCCTGGAAGAGATGCAATGGATGATGGAATATCTTTCCCAGAGAAGCGCACACGTCTTAAAAGAGTCATCTGGTCTGTTGGCTCAAAGAAATCATTGGGGAGCTGCCTCATACAGCCCTTCCGCAAATATAATATGAACTGTTTCACCTTCAGCTGTGATCTCTCGGTTGGCATCAAGACTCTCCTCATGTAACCTTCTATTCTCAGTTCATCAAGCTCTTTGGGGAGTTGTGTCACAAAGAGAGGCAAATGCTCCCATGTATTATCAAGAGCCACAAGGAATGTTAACCTCTCCAGGTTTGGAAGACTTGCTGCCAAATCATCCTTGAACTCCGACTGTGCAATGCGCAGATTTCGAAGCTCCAGATGTTCGAGGCATGGGAACAATCCATCGAGACTGAAGAACTGGATATCACTGCAGTCTATCTCAAGTTCTCGTAGCCGTTGAAAGCCCTTTAGCCAAGACAGGTCTTTGATGCTCCTGATGGTTAAAAATTGTAGCTGTGGCCATTCAAGGGTTTCGGCATTGTTTTCACCGTCTTGTACCCTCCCGGTAATGGAAAAGTCCTCAAGCTGTTTGGAATTCTTAAACATTCGCTTCCAGTCAAGTTTGATAGTCGATATCACCCTAACGTGACATCGTCTTAGATTGACAAGTTGCCACAGGCCGGTGAAATCGCCAAAGTCCATGCTTTTTGCCCGCAACTCCAGTGTCTCAATGTCCTCTAGTGCACCAAGGCCGTGAGGTATTTTTATTGTTGCACTACAGAGTACTAGCGTTAAATGTCTTAGCTTGTGTAGGCTTGAAATTCCACTCAAATCCACAGCTAACTCCTTATTGGCATAAAGCTCCAGCTCTTCCAAGTTGAATAATTGGCGCAGTAATGCAAAGTTGAATTTTCTGATGTTATTGCATTTCAAAACCTTCAGTGATGTCAAGCTGAAGAGCGCATCTGGTAATATTGTCACACTTGAATATCGAAGGTCAAGCGCTTGAAGGTTTCTCAGCTTGGATATGCTCTCTGCAATAAAACGGACCTGATCATAGCAGTGAAGCAAGCTCAATACCTTGACATTTTGGATGTGATCTATAATAAGACTGACATCCACACCAGAAGTTCCATGACATCCATCGAGAAGCAAGACATCTCGCACATGAATGTCAGACAAAAGGCTGTATGTAACCTTCTTTCCAATGAATGAAACTTTAGAAAATGTTGGAGAAATCCCAGGTGGACAATCATAGCCAAACAGGCATCCCTTCTCGTGCTCTTCCTGGGGTGGGTACTTCCCTTTCAAGATTCTTATGCACAGCTTGCGTACCATATCGTGCACAGTTACATACTTATACCATCGAATCTGATTCTCGAATCTGAATCGAGAATCAGTTGTCTTCACTAGGCATCTTCGTTCCAGTTCACTAACAATCTGCAGAGGCGAGAGTTCTGACCCAACCGCTATCCAACATTTTCTCAGATCATCAAACAGGATTCGCTTATCTTCTGGAAACGCAGCCACATAGAGAAAGCACTCTTGCAGCTTTTCATCCTTATTAAAGCGTCCCAGCTCGTCATAGCTAAACTTCAAGCGCTGGAACATCCGCTTCTCAATGTCCCCGTCATTCAACAAATGCATCTTCTGATAGCGTTCTTTCCACACCTGTGGCCCCTCATTCCTGTAGACAGCCATGGCACTGCCAATCACTTCAAGAGCTAAAGGGAGCCCCTCACATTTGCTAGCTATTCTCTCGGCAACTTTCACAATGTCCGGATCACTAGGTAGTGAATCATAAAAGGCAAACTTCCAAAACATCTTTTTGCTCTCGTCCTCTGATAGCTCATGCACAGGAAATGCCTTTGCACCCAGCATGCTCAAAATGCCTTCCTTTCTGGTTGTTACCAGCACCCGGCTGTAAGAGGACGGCCCTGCTATAAAATCCAGTCCCTTGGCCCAGCTCATGTCCCACACATCATCCAGTATCAGCAAGACACAAATTCCACGAGCAACATTTTGTGCCAAGTGCTGCACATGCTCAAGGGTGCCTGCATTTTGGGCCCTCTCTCTCATGCCGCCCCATTCAAGAGCGTTGAGGAGCTGGGCCCTGAGATCATCCTCCGATGCATCTTTCTTGACAGTGATCCACACAATGTTGTCATGGAAATGCTGCCGGATCCTCTCGTCATTGTGCACGAAGCTTGCAAGGGTGGTCTTGCCACACCCTCCCATTCCCAGGAGTCCAAACCATTTCCCCGGGGCTTGTGGATCCAGGAGGGCATTCACCACCTCATCCAGCTGCTCCCCATGGCGGCCAAACATGTCGTTGGGCTCGGGAACACCACGCCGTACATAGTTTACGAGACCTCTGTCTTGTGGACAACTCCGTACGGAAAAGCTGGTGCTCGGCTGTATCACTCTCAACTCTACTCGCTCGTACCTTTCAATCTGCGGGAGGAGATCGTCCTCGCAAGTGCGTACCAGCTCCGAAATTGCGCCAGATCGCTTCTCCCTGCGCGACAGATCCATCTTTTAGCTTCATTGCTTCAAACATGAATCCGAATAAGCCTTACTGTGATCCAAGAAGCGCTTGCGCCTTCTTAGTCCATTCAGTCAGTTCAGTCAGCCACGCCTCAGCCTCACCAGAGTAGCGGAAATCTGGATTCCTGTGCTTGGGAGCATTAAACTTGTCAAGCGTGGCCTGGATTCTGGATGCCCTCTTCTTTAGCTCCTCAATGTGGACATTCAGCTCATGCTCGTGACCTTGGATCTGCGACAGGAGATCGTCGTAGGCACTTAAGGACTTTGCGATCTCGTTACTCCGCTTGTACCTATAGGAAGTGGAGAAGTTCAACCAGCTGCCTGCCATTTCTACACACACACAAAAGATAAAATGCTACTGTACCAACCGCTTTATGGGCCCCCAGATCCTGTTGTGGCGTGATCCCAAGAGTGCTTGTGCCTTGGTGTTCCATTCCTTGACACGCTCCAAGCATTCCTCGGCCGCTTGAGAGAACATAAAGCCAGGTCCATTTCGCTCCTTGTGGCGACCGAAAGCGTTCATCTTGTCTTGGATGTGGTGTGCCTTGTTCTCCAGCGTTTCAATGTTGGCATTGCAGTCCCATATCTTCTTAGCAGGGCCCAGAGCCAAGCCACACAAGGCGCTTGCCAAGGAGCCCACAACCTCCATTCCTCGTCTCCCAGAACTCTTGGCCTTGGTATCCCCTCTTAAAATGAACAGTAATTTTCAGAGAGGTATAAGCTGTTACAAGTGACTTCAGTTTAATTGGAGTTGATTGCTTGCAGTCGCTTGCAGTACGTTTGTCGCTTTGTTTTAGTTGCACACAGATAAGGATGCCTTCCAGCTGACTGTTTGATTGCGTTGGGTCAAGAAAACGTACTTTGGGTCTTTTGAGGCGCATTGACAAACTCGTATTAACATCGATTGAAGAGACAACGTTTCAGTCGTTGATGGAGCTTCTAAAGGTAACTCTTCCCAAAAAGTTAAAACACAGTTGGCTTGGTTGTTCTCATAGCATTGTTTTGTTTTGTAGACACCAAAAGACTTAAATGTCTACACTCGTTGACCACCAGAGGTAATAGCAAGGCAACGTGTGATACAATCTGTGACATTTTCTTGAAACAGGAAATGCCAATTCAAAATTCGAACAGAAGCTTTTGCTTATACCTGATTCTGAGGTTGATCACAGATCACAGTTGCAAACTACACATATGTTTATTGCTATAGTTTCCATACACCAGGAACCTGAAGGGTTGGAAGACACTACTATAAGTTCTTGCAGTTCGCAACATTCTCCTAATTATGGTTTTTCTTAAGACATAGTTTTTTTATGTTTGATATAGCTTTCAATATAGTGAATATGGTTTAGCAATCTGATTCTTATCATCCCATTGTTCACTATTTTTGAGACTAGAAATGTATATAGTTTATTTTGTAATGGAAAACAATATACTTTTGAACTAGGATAGTTTATATGTTTTAATATACTTTGGAACTTGATTTATAATATTAAGGACATCAAGAATTATTTTAAAATTGGACTAAAGCTTGGTTTTCCTTATGGATGACATTGTAGTTGATGATTTCATGAACAATAGACCAATGAGAATGGGAGTGTGTTATCTTCCTTCCAAACCCATTTTCAACTACATATAAAAAATGTACATTCATGTGTAATTTATCCATGATAGTATTCTTTTGATAAGACTATAGGTTGTGCTGTTTAACAACTCTTGTGATGTTTTCAACTGAAACTTTTATGAAGAAATTCCCACACTTCAGTAAAAAAACAAACAAATTTATATTGTTCTTATTTGCTGTTGAATATCCTTTCCTAATTCTATATGAATTGGGATTGTTGGCTACAACTTCCATCCATATGACATATAAATATTCTATTGCAAACACCTTTACCATATATCAATTCTTCCTTGGATCCTCATAATATAACCAATTGCCAATTCTATAGGATTGTCCTTATAGTGGGCACCTCTTAGAAATTTGTGATAAATTACATCCAAAACTAAATAAGAGTAGTTCCAAACATTGTTATAGTATGGCACAATTGTAAGCAACCAAAGAGAACGACTCGAGAGACGATCCATGGGGTTCAAATATAAAAGGAAAGGGCCCATGAACAAGAGTGCACCCCCTTTTCCAATCGGTTAAGGGTCTTGGGATACTTGGGGTTAAGTGTCCTTGGGTTTGAATAGTACTGGGTTGGGTGACCTCCCGGGAAGTCCAAATTCAGGAGCTTACATTTGGTATCAGAGGGGTCTTGGGTTCGACTCTGTTGGTTAGCTAGGGGAATCACACCACATGTTAATTGACATCTGGCTGGTCCAGTTTGCTCCCACTGGGCTACCCGAGGGGTAGGGTGTCAAGAGAGCCCCGACTCTGTTGGTTAGCTAGGGCAATTAACATCTGGCTAGTCCAGGGGAATCACACCACATGTTAATTGACATCTGGCTGGTCTAGTTTGCTCCCACTGGGCTCGACCCGAGGGTAGGGTAGCTGTGGCTCTCCCGAGAGCCACAGCTCTCGGGATGTGGCTCTCAGGAGAGCTGTGGCTCTCAGCTTCCGTTCACGAGGGCGTGAACTTGTAGGGAAGCGTGGTGGATTGTAAGCAACCAAAGGGAATGACTCGAGAGACGATCCATGGGGTTCAAATATAGAGGGAAAGGGCCCATAAACAAGAGTGCACCCCCTTTTCCAATCGGTTAAGGGTCTTGGGATACTTGGGGTAGCGTCCTTGGGTTTGAATAGTACTGGGCTGGGTGACCTCCTGAGAAGTCCAAATTCAAGAGCTTACAACAATGCAAACTTCTTTAACTAAAGCATCCACTAGTAAGATGTAAGTATGTAACCGGATATTCTCTAAAGCTAAAATATAAGAACTTATGTGGTGATATTTCATTAAAGTTCTTCTTGGTCCATCTATATAATAACTAAGAAAAATTATTAGTTTCTACCAAAGAAATAGATAGATAGACAATTTCTCACTAGTAGTATTTAGCATAGATAAAGACTTCAATTGCACCCTTAATCCCAACTAAGAATATCTTTATAATTTGAGCAAAACATGGAAAACCATACAATTATAAGCATGAAATATAATATGATTATTACAAACCTGAATTGTGTGGATCCACCATAATTGTGTTTTGCTTTTGCATTATAGTATATATAGCCACAATTCCTAGCTCTTCCTCCTCCAAAACATCTTCTTCAACCAAATTATCATTAGGTAAACTATCCACCTTGTGACAACGACCATAACTCCATCCACACTAGAATTTCCTCTGGCAGCCTAGATTGGCCGTCCTGCCGTTCCTCCAGGCTCTCCACCATCGCTAAAACGATAGCGTTCTTTGATCTAAGCTGGAAGAAAATGAAACATTCAAGCAAACAAGGCGAAATAAATGAACCACCTTGTAAGCCCAGTACTCGTGAGTTGCCCGTGGATCCAAGACCCTGCAAACAAAAGAATGAGCTGAGATCGCAATTTTCTTCTTCGCAAAACTAGGCCTAGACCTCGGAGAGAAATGCCACTGCGCCTTGTTCATCATCCACTGTCCAGAGCGGCCGTGGTGATGAATTCATCTCGCACTGGACGAGATTGCTGTGTATGCCGATGCTGCGCCATTGCTCTAATATTTCGCTCCTCCTTGGCGACTGAAATGCATATACATTGGTGCCAGCGTCGCCGTCCTTCCATCGATTGGCGATCTAGCAAGCATCGCTCCCAGCTATAAAAACCCTAGATGAGGAATCCAAGCACAAGCGCGAGTGCCTTTTGAAAATTGTGGTGCTATAAAATCTTGACACGCTCGTGGCGCAATCCTCACCGTCAGTTCATCCACTGTTACTGCTCTCTCTCTCTCTCTCTCTCTAGCTAGGAAGTTCTCGCTACATGTAGCTCCTAGGATTTTGGAGTGTGATAGCACAATATATGTACTCATTTGATCATTTTTATTGGCTAGCTCTTTCTTTCAAGAGAAGCTGGCCAGTGTCGAGAATGTAACTTCGGGTATCAAAAGTTATTTGTCGGTTAGTCTTTACGGACACTTTTTCTTTGTTGCCATGATGGCAGGAAGTCGGTATTGCTGGACCCTTTATCAACTTCTCTTGTGCTAGTGGAGTTAACTAAGCATTTCGAGTATATTTAGACTGGACGAGCATAAGGACGGAATTCCTATGTGTTATTAGCTAAGCATACTTAGCCTGGTAAGGAGTTCCTGTCTCATTTTATCTTGCACTTGCTAGTGATAGAAACCCTTGCGTATTGAGACTAGTCCCTCAATATTGCTAGATGATAGCTTACTGTGTCTGCCAAACACCCTCGCTATCATGCCCTTTGTGTTAGTCTCATTTCGTTCCCAAATGCTATTTATGGAAAGTGTTTAGATTTGCTCATTTGGCATATATATGAAATGTAGAGATTGGCCTAAACACAATGGTGTTTGTCCCGTGTCCAAATTCACAACTTAGTGCCATTCCATATTTAGTAAGTTTCGAACTTATCCCTTGGGGTGAAAGCCCAAAGTGTGTGTTCCTCAAGAAGGGGGGGGGGGGGGGGGTTCCAAATGTATAATAGGGATAGTGGGTAGATTGGGCATGGTTGACTAGCTTGAGGCATAGTCTAGCTCCCACTTGCGTGCCTGTCCTTGTTCTGTGTCTGGCTTGGGTCTAAGCCCAAGCTCCACACCATGCTAGCTGGTGGAGTACCCATATCCTTGCGTTAGGCCACCAGTATGCCGAAATAGCGCCAGACTCTGTTTGGCTCCGTTTTGCGTGCTGGTCCTGGCATTGGGATGCTGGATACTCTAAGACTGTTCCAAGTCGCTCCATGCTCTTGTTCCTTCACTCCTTGGGCTGCATGCTTGGGAGTTGCTCTGTGGTTCGGTTCTGCCACTCCTTGGCTCCATGCTTAGGAGTTTGGCTCCATACTTTTGTTCAATGGCCCAAGGCTTTGAAACTTGGGTTCCACACCACTGTCCTTGGACACGTGGCATGTGTCACGTGGTATAAAGAGGGTTTAGGTTCCGCTTCTTGGCGTTATCCTATGGTAAATCACCATAGGATAAAGGGTCAAAACCACGTGCGCTACATTTGGTATCAGAGGATGAGTCTCGGCGAGTACTGTCTAATGAGATTGGGCAACTAGTCTCATTGCATATGCAGAGATGAAAACGATGATCCGAGTGGGTACATGTTCGGGTGCAAAGGCTTCGCAATCGTTCCTTAGGATGGATTTGAGGTGTACCATTTTGCATGAGTTTTTGCTTGGGCTTGTGAGTGAGGCACATTAGCAACTCAAGGATACACTTTGACTTGGCAGGATTAATGTTGGTTCCATGAGTTGTTCTAGTGGTTCCATGAGTTGTTCCATATACCATAGGTGTGAGTAAACTTTCTCTGGGTTTGCTATGAGTGGCAAATAGGCTAGTCTATAGCTGTTTAGCACGGCACTGTGAGACACAAAATCCCTAGGCCCCAAAGTGGAGCCAGAAGGGTGCCACATGGTAATGGCCAAAGTGAAAGCCAAACAAGCGTAACACATTTGGACCAAAAGCTCCGACTTGAAAGGTCGAGAGCGGGAGTGGAACTCCCAACGAAGTGCTCGAGGAACAAGCATGAAGTGAGAGATAAGTGAGTCTCTAGAAAAGGGACCCGAGGTGGACCCGAGATGGACCTGAGATGGAGTCGAGATGGAC